CAATAAGGTTTCCTAACAGTTTTTCAAGCACAGTCAATGAGATTCCATAGTAGTTCTTCAAGCAACATTACAATTCTATAAAGATGATGATTTAAACAGTTACTGCTTCTATTCGTTTTAAATTATCGTAAGTGTTTGCCACCATTATTTTGTTCCAGCACATATTTAGGTATGATATAAACACATTTTCCTCTGGTAAGGAGCCATAGTTGCATCGTGGATTTAAGTACTCCACTGCAGTTTCACAGCAGAAAGATGAGGATGTATGTTCCTATAAAGATTTGCAGCCTCACGAATGTTTTGGAGTAGTTCACTTCTGTCTTGTAGGGCTGACATGAATCAGAGTCAAAGCAATGGCAGAGAGCCCTGGCGAGATAGTGATTAGTTAGAGGTCCACAAGTCAGCTGTTCCATGGAAGAAAAAAGAGGCTTTTTTTCTCCACTCCATGGGAGAACAGCCACTCCATGGGAGAAAAATAGAGGCTTTTTACTCCTGTAAAATTGTAGTCTCAGAGACCCGCCGGGGAAGTTCTACCTTGGTCTATAGAGTTGCCATGATGTGGAATCGATTTCATGGAAGTGAGTTTGGTTTTAGGTTTTTAAATCAAGTTTACAGGTAGGAATGGAGGGAAGATAGTTGACACATAATCTTATTTTATCTTTTCTACATTTGGAATAATCTATCATTAATAAGATTATTCAGAAAAATGTTTGTATTTATGTGTAATATCTTTTCCTGTGTTTAAAATCCAATATTATAAAAAATATTGAAAAATTTGAAAAGAGCTATAGTTTTTATATTTTTACATATTTTCCCAATATGTGTCATTATTTTTTTAAATTTTAATTTTTAAAAATCATTTTATTGGGGACTCATACAACTCTTATCACAATCAATACATACATCAATTGTATAAAGCACATTTGCACATTCATTACACTCATCATTCTCAAAAGATTTGCTCTCCACAAAAGCCCCTGGCATCAGCTCCTCATTTTTCCCCTCTCCCTCCTGCTCCCCCCTCCCTCATGAACCCTTGATAATTTATAAATTATTATTTTGTCATATCTTTCACTGTCTGACGTCTCCCTTCACCCACTTTTCTGTTGTCCGTCCCTCAGGGAGGGGGTTATATGTAGATCCTTATAATAGGTTCCCCCTGTCTACCTCACCTTCCCTCCAGCCTCCTGGTATTGCCACTCTCACCACTGGTCCTGAAGGGATCATCCGCCCTGGATTCCATGTGTTTCCATTTCCTATCTGTACCAGTGTATATCCTCCAGTCCAGCCAGATTTGTAAGGTAGAATTGGGATCATGATAGTGGGTGGGGAGGAAGCATTTAGGAACTAGAGGAAAGTTGTATGTTTCATCATTGCTCCACTGCACCCTGACTGGCTCATCTCCTTCCCATGATCCTTCTGTAAAGGGATGTCTAGTTGCCTACAGATGGGCTTTGCATCCCCACTCCGCACTCCCCCTCATTCACAACGATATGATTTTTTGTCCTTTGTTGCCTGATACCTGATACTTTCGACACCTCATGATCACACAGGCTGGTGTGCTTCTTCAAAGTGGGCTTTCTTGCTTCCAAGCTAGATGGCTGCTTGTTTACCTTCAAGCCTTTAAGACTCCAGATGCTATGTCTTTTGATGGCCAGGCACCATCAGCTCAGCTTTCTTCACCACATTTGCTTATGTACCCATTTGCCTTCAGTGATCGTATCTTGGAGGTGAGCACACAATGATATGATTTTTTGTTCTTTTATGCATGATAACTGATCCCTTCGGCACCTGTATGCTTCTTCCATGTGGGCTTTGTTGCTTCTGAGCTAGATGGCTGCTTGTTTACCTTTAAGTCTTTAAGACCCTAGATGCTATATCTTTTGATAGCCGGGCTCCATCAGCTTTCTTCACCACATTTGCTTATGTACCTGCTTTGTCTTTAGCAATCGTGTCAGGAAGGTTAGCATCATGGAATGCCAGTTTAATAGAACAAGGTATTCTTGCACTGAGGGAGTACTTGAGTGGATGCCAAATGCCCATCTGCTACCTTAATACTAAACCTATAAATATATGCACATAGATCTATTTCCCCATCCTCATATATAAGTATATTTACATATGTATATGCCTTTATTTAGACCTCTATAAATGCCCCTTGCCACCTAGCTTTTTCTTCTATTTCCTTTTGCTTTCCTCTTGTCCCACTATCATGCTCAGCCTTCATTTGGGTTACAGTAATTCCTCTTAGTTACATTACCCTTGATCACGACCTCCCAGGCCTCCCACACACTCCTTATTTGGATCACTTGTTGTTCCCTTGTCCCTGGGTTTGTTAACATCACTACCTTTCCTCCCACCTCCCCTTTTCCCATGTCCCTCCGGAACTGTTAGTCCCATTGTTTTTCCTCCCAATTTTTCATCCAGCCTATCTTATTTAGACAGACCTGCGGAGATAAAAACATGCACAAAAACAAGTGAGAGCAAAACCAAGCAACAAAATAAAACAAAACAACAACAACAAAAAGCCAAGGACAAAACAAAACAAAAACACAACAGAACAAGAACAACAAAGAAAAGCTTGTCGTTATTTCAAGGACTGTTTGTTGGCCTTTTGGAGGGTTTTCCGGTCTGATGGGGTGCCAAAGCCCGGCCCAAAGTCAAGTTTTGGTATTCCCTGAGATTTCATTGCTCTGTTCCCCTTGCTGTTCTGTTGTCATTATTTTTTATGGTTCTAATCTTAACATAGTATTGCCGTTAATAAGAATCATTTTTTTAATTTACAAGATTTTACTCTTTATTACAGTTGTCATATGATTTGAATTTCTAGTTGTAATTTATAAAGTGGTTGACTGTTAAATGAATGATTGGCTGTTTGAATCCACCTAGAGGGGTCTCCTAAGAAAGACCCACTGGTCCACTTCCAAAAGGTCAAAGCAGCTAAAAATCCAGTGGAGCACAATTCTACACTGAAATACCTGAGGCTCATATTAATCAGAAAGAGCTAACACACTCTATGTATATATAAGTATATTTATATATATATATATATACACACACACATATATACACATACCTATATATATTGTCGTACGTTTACAATGAGGAAAGTATACAGCATAACTATTTAGTAATATCCTTTGAAAGAATGAAGATATATTTTAAAAAAGGCATTTTAAAGAGTGTTGTTATTGCATAGCATTCTGATCCTCATATAATATGCTGACTATTTTGTGTAGTGTTGCAGATTTCACAAGAATATGCACATTACACTACTCACAGCCCAGCTTCATCTCCAACTTGTCACAAGAGTTTAGTGTGCGTGCCCTTGTGTTTTTATTGAGCATTACAAAGGAATTAAAAAAAATAATATATACCTGGAAAATAGTTGAAAGTGAGATTAATAAGTTATTGATGATGTCCTTTTGTTCTTATACAAAATTTCATTGTTTAAATATTAATAACCTTACTTTTAGTGAAATGCAATGAAATTTTAATTAGCGTTGTGTAAATAAGTTAACTGTATTGATTATTGTACTATAAGCACTATAGAAATGCACTTATCGCCTATTATGCCTCATTAATAATTAAATCGGGACTTGTGACTTATTCAAATTAGGGTATAGAAGTACATAATGCTTAGCAACTCATAAGTCAGGTTGAAATGTGACTAATGGATGAAACATATCTAGTTGTTTAATGACTGTGGGAAAGAATACAACCTTATTATGTTTTTCTTTTACGGTTTATCTTAGTTAAGGGGCCTCCTGGTTGTTGAATGAATATGTGTGAAAGAATAAAAATTCATTTTTTGTTTTATGATTTATTTTAGTGAAGGGTCCTCATAACTGAGAGGCCAGGATCCAGAACAGAGATAGAACTGGTGTTGCAATGACTGATGAGACTTTTCTGACCAAACAATTGTATCTTGAGAATTTCTCATTTTAAATGGTTAATTTCCCTGAGAAAGCCCGTAACAGTGAACAGGGCCTGTGACTGGCTATTGCAATGAACTGTACGAGCCAGTTGAGATGTGGGCAGGATGGTGAGGAGGGTGGAGGGGGAAAGCAGGTCTGGCTCTTCCCTGCACAGGAATTGGCCAAGAGCTGATTGATGCGAGGTGATTTTCCGCTTCCCTTTCTCCGTAGTGGGAAGTCAGATGCCCCACCCCCATTCTGATACCAATTCAGAGGGAAAGTGCGCACTGCAGTCTGTGCTTTCACACAAGTGGGTATGAGTCTACTGGCATGCAAGTTCATTGAAAACAGTTCAGAGAGTTGACAGAATCACGGCATGGGGTTTGGAACAGGGTGAGAGAGGAAAGGCACTGAGTACACCGAGGATGTCAACATGTGCGGGGTTGACCGTGACCATAGAGCACAGGGAGAAGCAAGCTGGAGCTGTCTTTTCCTGTAGAGAGGGCAGTTCTTCTCTGCCCCATGGGGCCTCGATGCGTCCGAGTCACTCAATGACTATGGCTTTTTATGTAATGAAAGCATGAAAACATTCATGAAGTTAAATTTTAACGGGTGCTTGAGCATGTCGTCGGCAGGTGGCAATAAGCACATCCGCCGCTCATGTGTAAGGAAAGGTTGAAGCTCAAGAAAACAAGGCTGTGGGAGCAGCATGTAGTGTAAATGATCTTGTCCACAATATAAACTGAGATTCTGTGAACAGACCAAAGACCTGATGGAGCTCCCTCGAAACATTCTCTAATTTAGCTTTTAATTTCAATATCCTAAGTTTATTTTTCTGGTGGATACTTGAGGACTGTCTGTTTTCTTACGTTCGCTTTTTATTTCTAATGCTATACACATATGGCAAATACTAGTACTCAGTTCCTTTCCAGACCAAAATGCTGATCACTGTCACTCATCATATCCTTCTCTTATTCTTGTCCCGCCGATATTTTGGTCTCTGCTTTTAGTATCATAGAGATCATCTTCCAACACACCATGGTATACTTTAGAACTCATTTTATTTATAAGAAAGGTAAGCAGAGTTATGCCGCAGCTATAGATACAGGGAGGGTAGCTCTAGGGCTCGTTCTGCGGAGGTGACGAGGAGGGTTTGGAAATGTTGGTGCTGGTCCGTGCAAACACCTTTGACAGGACTGAAGAGACCTTCGCCAGCGCTTTAGATCCTTGCTTGGAAACAATGGACTTATGATCTTCTGTGAGCAAGCAAACGAACAAACAACAAGAAATACAGGCATTTATTAGATATTTTAATTGAGGCAGCCATACCATAACATCAATAATTTAATATTCAACAATTGATAGTTATAAAATAATTTGATTATTATAATTTCTAACTTTGAATATTTTGCAATTTAGTGACCCAAGTGATTTTTTTCCATGTGAAATAGAACTGTACAGATAAACAAAATAGGGTCCCTTTTATCTTCTTTCTTTCTGGCACCATTTATTCACTGCCTTGGGCTCTTAGAGAATATGGTGATTGAGTTTAGAAGCTCAGTAGGATGTGATAAAATATGAAAGCACCTGACAGTAAGAAGCCATGCTTTCTTATTTCAAGTTCATGCCTGTATGTTTTGCGACTGAGTAGGTTCATCTTTTCTTCTTTAGTGCACTAGCTTTCTGCAGTTGCAATGAGTCCATTGCTATTGAGTCACCTTTGACCCACAGTGACCTTAGAGGACAGAGTAGAGCTGCCTCCTACATTTCCTATGTCTGTAATCTCTATGGAAATCGATTGCAAAAGTGTTTTGCACAAAAAGCATCTGGAATGGGTTCCATTAGCCTTTGATTAGCAGCCGAGCGCTTAACCAGTGTGTCACCAACACCCTTTACATGTAAAACAACAGCTAATTTAACCATAAAATGTTCATAACTGGATTAAGGAATTGCTAAAGGATCATATCCTAAAATTCTCATCAGAAGAGAAAAATTAAACGCTGTTATTGAGACAGATAGAGCGTCTTAGAAATGTCGATTTCTTGTGAAGACACCCAGAGATGTTAATGGAGCCAGTCTGCAGAGTCTGGGACTCTGAAATGTTCACGAGTATACTAAGAGATTCGGGTGTAAGCCATTCCTCTATAGATACCGAGAAGACTGTCCCAAATGCACCATCGATATTAGATTTCTGCAGTGTTCAAGTTTGCAAGGTGACAGGTGTCTCAAATTAACATGCAAAACTCATTCTGAGAGAGAGAAATGAACCCTTGTGGCTTCCACTTAATCATTTCAATGTAAAACTAAGTCTCTACTTGGGCCCTACCCAGCACGTGAACATGTGCCTTGTTCTTTACTGCAATGGCAAGTAGGTGGGGCCACACTGTCGCAAGAAGGAAACATGTCAGTAGAAAGCCAGAAGATGCAGCTTCGGCCTTTTGTTAGCTGTGTGTAACCTGAAGTAGATTGCTTGCGTCTCGCTTTCCTCCTGTAAAAGGAGACTCTCAGAGGAAGAATGGAATGACGCCGAGGATATAAGCAAGTGGTGTAGCTCAGAAAGTGTTTCACAAAAACTTTGGCTTATATGTTAATATTTAAGGGACTTTAATTTTAAGTGGTTTTAAGATTATAATAACAAGTTTTATATGCTTTTTAATGTGACTTTTACATCTCAAAATAATTCAATCTCCAGCATCTCTTGAAAACTTCAAAGCTGTGGCAGCAGTGCCTCATGCTAAGCACTGGAGATGAATAGTAGCTCCGTGCTTTAGATGGACTCACACCGCTCAGTGAACGACAGATTCCTGTTCAGCACACTGCTGCTGTGTGGACTGCACATCTGCTGTCTAAAATATAGATCATACACATGTACTTGCGTGAGTGAATTACAGTTATCTGGGATGAGATTAGGCTTTGAAATTAGGTAGATAAGTGTTTGGATTGTTAACTCTATAGGTTACTGATTGTGGGGTCACCTTGGATAAACTACTTTGATCTCATTTCTGATTAACTCTAATTTTCCTACTTGATAAAATAAGGGTATCCCGTCCTCATAGTATTAGTGTGAGAAAAATATTTACCACAATTCCTAGGACATAATTGTCCCATCCCCACTGCCATCAAGTTGATGCTGACTCATAATGACCTTATGGAAAGAGTCGACCTGCCCCCAAGGGTTTCCAAGGCTGTACATAGTTATGGACGTAGAAAGCTTCATCTTTCTCTGGAGGAGCAGCTGGTGGGTTTGAACTATCAATCTCATGGTTGGCAGCCCAGCACATAACCCATCGTGCCATCAGAGCTTGCCTAGTTGTACCTAAAACATTGTTTGTTAACCTTTGGTGATGAAGTTGAAGTATATGAAAACAGCTTAATAAATGACAAATTACTATCTCCGTAAATAGAAATTATATTATTTCAACCCCAGACAATCAGGGCCGCAGGATTTCCTCGGCTGGAAATCTTCCCAGAAGCAGGCTGTCGTGTCTTACTCCTACTGGGGGCTGGTGAATTCAAACCATCAGTCTCTTGGTAAATAACCAGGCATTTAACCCTGTGCACTTGGTTTCCCTTTCTTCCACTAAAATAGGGATGAAAAGTGTTGCTCGCCTCTGGTCCGCGTCACTAACCTATTCTTGACGATACAATTAGGAACGAATCTCACAATTTCAGACATTGTCTGGATTAACAGTACACATGAATACTTCTAAGAGAAGAGCTACTCATTCTAGGAGATCAAAGTTTTACATTAGGGAATGGTGAGCTGTGTTCCACTAGTTTTTAAAGTGAGCATATATTTTATACCTGAAGTGAAAATTTTTGAGGGACTCTCACTGGGAACAACACTTTGGCGTCCTTCATAGATGGTGAAAAACTGTCAAGACAAAGTGAAACACTAATTCAGTCTTTGGCAGACGGTCAACATTAGCTATATCAGAAACCACAACAAGGTGGAGCATATGAGTTGTATCATAATATTCATAGTTAAGCTGTATCATCTCAAATAATTATTTTCTATGACCAAGGCTAATATAGTTTTCAAATCACTATGCCTAGATGGATGCTTGTCATCGCTGGGAGAGTTGTACCAATAAAACAAGATTTAGAAGGTTCCAGTATTTCAGTTACCCAAAGAAACACCTGCCCCCCAACACAGAAAAACCTAGCTTTTATGTGCCTCCTCCCTTCTTAAGATGAATTAAATTAAGAAATCAGTTTCAAGTTCTTTGTTGAGAACAGGTGATAAACCCACTGCCTCCATCTATTCCAACTCACAGTGACTCTGCTCGACAGAAGAGAACTGCTTCACAGGATTTCAAGACTAAATATTTATGGACACAGAATGCCTCATCGCACCCCCATGAAGCGGACTGTGGTTTTGAACCCTAAACTTTTAGTTAGCACTTCAATGTTTACCCACTCTACCACCAGAGCACCTAGAGAGTGATAAAGCAACAATTTTTGCAACTGTATGATCTGGAATGATAAAATGCCTATGTGAAGCTGTTTAGGAATGGAAGGATAGGTACTGTTAGCTCTACTCTTTACATAGGTACTGTTACTGTCTACTCTTTAAATACAAAAATGACTGTCTCAGACAGGGATAAAATGGCCTGGGACAGGTAGCTGGAATTTAGTGTAGCCACACTATTCTGCTCGCTATCAAAAGTAATAAAAACATCAATGAGATAAGGTGTAAATCTATGCAGCAAGAGATAATGTATATAGGCTATGTGAAAAGGAGCACATATTACTATGATTTTTTCCCATTTCCTAAAATTAAATGAAAGAATTTATGTATATTAAGGTGTTACAAACCAGAATATATTAAGAATATAACAGGGCAGAGAAAAATCTAAATGTTCTTTATTTGGGGTACATAACTTAATCATCTGTTGTTGTTTTTTTCAAGCCTGATTCCCTGAGCCCCATGCCAATTGAACTCCCTGAGTTTGTGTGGGTATTGGGATTTTTAACAATGCCCGTGTGACTCTGTAGCCCGATGGAGACACCCTGATGTAAAATAATTCTTGTTAGGTGCCACTGAGTTGGTTCTGATCCACGGGGAACTTACGCAGAACAGAACAAAGCACTTCCCAGTCCTGCCCCATCCTCACAGTTGTTCCCAAGCTTGAGCTCAGATAGAAGAATTAGTAGGGAGAAAATAGTACTTCATTGTCTGATGAAATGAGTCGATATATTTAAAATCTACTGTGAATTTATACCATCACATTAGTTTGATGACCGTTTGTTTTCACTTAATGTATTATTGTTATAATAGATGCTTTAATGCCTTTATCTGAAAATCCCCCAATCTGGTTTACTATGGATTCCCTTGAAACTTACAGATATTATCTTTATTATTTTTATAGTGGGTAATTTTTACGATAACCTGCATACTTTAAATAGGCTGAGACTCACTCCTTTTAAAATCGTCTGGGGTATACATAAATTTTTGTTTGTTTAAATAGACAATTGACTCATTTAGTTTCATTCTATGCATCTTACCCTGCATTCTGGAGGTGTAGTTCCAATGGAAGTTTGGTTTCCAAAGTCTTTTCAGTGTTTGAGTCACTACGAATACCCAATTCAGATTCTCAACCCCTTTCTTTTATGTAACTTTAGATCAGAGTTCCATGAACTCACAAGTCAGGGAGTGTTTTGTAAACAGATTTAAGGGATGTCTTCCCCAAAAGCCTTCTTCTCTGTGCTGTCTTTTCATATCTCTGGCCCTCAGTAGCCTTTGGCTCTGGTTCTATGGTGAGAATAGCAGGGCATTTGCGTCTTTGTGCTGTTGCACTCTGTCGTGTGCTTCCCATGATTGTGTGCTGATCCAAGATAACGAGGAGAGATACAGCAGAGAGAGAGAGAAAACAGAAAGGCTTTCCTACATTACTCTTCAGACTAAGGGTAACCTCCGATCAGTTGTATGTACCTGAAAAGGCTTTCCTACCATTATGATGTAGCTCCAAGACCAGACCTACACTGTAGGTGCAGGATGGGAGGCAGGGGTGATTCCTCTCACAGTCTCACGGTTTCTCTTGGATCTTAATCTGTCCATCCCAACAGTTTTATGCCAGGATTTGAGCCGCCCCATGTGTAAGCCAAGAGTTATGGGATGAAAACTTCCTTGAAAATACCCAATGCTTTTGGCTAGTCTCTGTTTTGATTTACCTCTCCAGTCTCCTGCTATTCTTTATTTTTCAGAGTCTTCAGTAGTTATCCAGACTGTATAGTTGTTGCCAGTAAGAAAGACAGCGCGGTGTGTTTACTCTCACTTACCTTAAATTAGACCAGGCAATATCATTAACTATAGTTTTATATGGAAAAAGTAGTAAAGGGAAAAAACAAAACAAACAAGTAAAAACACCACCTATGTGCCCAAAAAGTCCAGATGAAATAGGAAATCAGTTTGCTCCAAGGAGTAACATTACACAAGGTCCCTCTAGAGATTCAGAAACAGCCCTTTATTGACCTATTATTCGGAAAGTCTAGGTTTGTCACTGAAGCTTAAGTTTGTCAAATAGAGGTTTATTTTCATAAATGAGGATTAGGTCAATCAGGAAATTAAGATTTTTAGAAGACCTGGCAAAAATTTCTTATATATGAGTTTTAGGGCTTTCAGAATTGCTTGTGATAATTCGCTATGTTGTGATACTGAGAAATGACTAGAAGATTGTTTCTCTGTAAGGATGCACTTTCTTGGAGGAGGAGCTAGAATGAAAAAGGAAATGATGAAACTAAAAAGCAGAGGTGGAATTCTTCAGCCCTCATTGGAAACTTTTGAAGGATTAGGAAAGAGATTGCTTGGGCTCACATTGAAGGGTGGGCACACCTTTAGAAAAGTTGCCTCTAAGGAAACAAATCAGAACCATGGGAATGTTATAATCTATGTCCCTCGGGTCCCTCCATCTTTGAAGTGTCTGTTTCCTCCCATGTCCCACCGAGTCCCTACTTGAGTCGACCACATTGGGGTGCCAAGTGCATCACTTTCTTTGGGTTTTTCCAAGAGATTGCTGTAAAAATGTTACTGAATGGTACTAAGCCCACGCATCACTACTATGGGTCATAAGGTGAGATAATGGCTTACTTTGTGTACTTAATCAAAGGTGAGAATATTTTCATTAAGTGATTTTAGCCAAGGGGGACTGCAACCAAGAGGAGAGAAATTGGTTTGAGGGAATTGCAAATAGGGTCACAATTTTGCCTGAAACCCCTCAACTAGAAGCACTCAGACTTTAACTACCGGGCCACCATTAGTTAGAAACCCCTGCATCTTAACAAAGGTGTCTTTGGTTGGATCAGAGTTATGATGGCCCTATACATGCAGGGTCAGGAAACAAAGTGAGGAAAGGTGTGCACCAGGGTTGCATCCCCCCCGCCCCCACTGTGCTTATTCTGTTTTTCTGCAGAGAAAATGAGCAGGGACGCTGGATCATAGGAAAAGGAATGTGGCATCAGGATTGGACGAAGGCTTATTAACATTCTGCAATATGCAGATGACAAAACTTTTCTTGCTGAAAAGCACTTGCTGATGAAGATCAAGGGTTGAAGCCTTCAGTGTGGATTAAATCTCAATGTGAAGAAGCTCAAAGTCCTCACAACTGCAAGAATATGTAACATGATATAAACGGAGACAAGGTTGAAGTTGTCAAAGATGTTGTCTAGCTTGGATCCACAATCAATGCTCACGGAAACAACAGTCAAGAGATCAAAAGGTGAGGTGCAATCTGTTGCAAGGGAAGCCTTTATAGAGTCTTAAAGAGGGACGATGGAACTTTGAGGACTAAAGTGTACCTGACCCCGACCATGGTTTTTTAACTGCCTCATAGCATGTGAATGTGGCACAGGGAATAAGGAAGACTGAGGAGAATGGATGCACTTGAACTGTGGTGCTGGAGAAGTATTTGAAAGTACCACAGACAGCAAAAAGGACAAACATTTGGTAAGTCCAGAGTGCTCCTTAGAAGCAAGAATGACAAGACTTGGTCTTACATACATTGGACATGTTGTCAGGAGAGACCAGTCCCTGGAGGACATCATCCTTGGCAAAGTAGAGGGGCAACGAAAACCTGGAAGTCCCTTAAAGGAGAGGAACAGACACAGTGTCTGCAGCAACGGGCCTGGGAACAGTTGTGAGGAATGGACAGCACCAGGCAGTGCTTTCTTTGTTACGCACAGGGTCACTGAGCTGGAACCAACTGATGACACTGAGCAACCACCACAGTGCACATGCATAGTGACTTCATAGGACCTTTGGCTTTAATCTGCACGGCAGATAGAGGCAATGGGTTCAAACTGCCAACCTTTACTTAGGCTGGCAGCCATTCATAAATGATGCGCACCAACCAGAGCCCTACTCTACCCCACTTTGATCCTGTTTAAAAATATTTACCTTAACGTTGCTTGTAGATTCCAGTGCTGGTTCCTGAGAACTTTCTGTGGCCAAAGAAAATATTAGAAAACAATTTTATTTTTTTGAGGCATTTACAGTGTTTACCCAAACCTGGTTTTTTTTTTTCCCACCAAAGAAAATCAAAGATTTAGGTACATGGGAACTAGACTCTCTCCCGTCTCCCACCCCCAGTGTATAGACAATGAGAACAAAGCTAAACTAGGTTAGATCATTAAAATACTGAGGACGCAAGTTTTATTTAGCCCTTCATTCAGGATTATAAAATATGAAGTGTGATGTAGTAGGACAGACAGGCTCTACTGTCACTGAGCAGCTACACACATATGTTCAAACCACACCATCTCTCGAGCCTGTCTGCGTATAAAAGGAGGGGTTGTTGCAATGCAGATGAGTTCTCAATGTCTCTTCAGCACCAATACCGATGGCAAACTGCTGATTATCCTTTTTAAAAGGAAAGAGGTTTTCATGATAAAGTAATGTCAGAGAGGAAGGTGCTGGTCTTAAGAAATCGTTTCACTTGGTGAAAGTCAGAATAACTTTGAAGAATCAACCTTAGGTTGTCTAGTAAAGTTCCTACTGAATTAAACATTTCCTGAGCTCAAAGGGAGGGCTGGGTGGCAGTTAATGAAGTCGAGCCCATGGAAATAAAAATGGCACTGCCAGAGAAGTTTCACAGGGACCACTAGGGAGGCCAAGAATGCACCTGAACATCATTACAACCTGTCTGACTAGTAGTTTCACCACTCAGCGCTGTATGAACAAATGAAATAAAACTTCTCTGAATCTGTTTTTCTCATGTATGGAATAGAAATGAGACTGTATTAGCCCTTTTGGGTAAGACAGGGACCACTTATAAATACATGAAATTTCATATCTCATTTCATATAAATATATAAAATTATCTTGCTTATGTCCCTACTCTTTGAGTAGCTATCCCAAGTTACAAGGTAAATCCCACAAGGACAATGGTCCTGCCAGTCTTGTTCATAACTGGGCTCTGTCTCAGTAGAGGCTTAGTCAATTTTAAATGAATGAATGAATAATTGAATTATACAGGTGCACTATTAACTGAAGATTATAGGAACTAAGCATGATCACTGCGAGTACATTGGTAAGTGCACACACACACACACACACACACACACACAGTGACATTAGGGCCAGGTGATCTGGGATCCAGACTGGGAATTCCGAATGACCTTGAACAAGTCACATTTGCATTCTGAGGTTCAGTTTCTTCACTATGATGTTGGCAATGTTGTACTAAATGGTTTCTGTCTGGGCTCTAGCAGACGATGAACCCATAATGTAAAAATTAATCCAGTGGTTCTTCTGACACTTTCTGTTATATGCTCATGGAATTCTGGCATACATCTTGTTATTTTATTCTTCAATGAAGAATATTTACATTTATAAATTGAGAGTGAGTTTATTGTATAATCTTTGAGAGGGTTGAAAGTCTGAAACCGAATAAACTTTAGTTGTGGTTTGAATTTTAAGACGCTTTTACAGTAAACACGATACTCTACTTCTTGTGCATAGTGTCACTGTTAGAATTGCAATGATCCCCAGGAATTTTAACAAACTGAAAAGCCCAACAAATTTCATAACGAACACAGCAGTGATACAGAAATATTGAGGAGCAGCAGATGAGGGCCAGCCTTCGGGCATAGAGCCGGTGGGGCTTGGGTTCGGTTTGCATTTCCTGCCAAGAACTACCATGTATTTGCTATTTTGATGCCACCCTTCCTTCAGGAAGTCATGTGTCAATCTGGTAGGTGTGGTTCTATTATGTGAATTAGTATGATGGTCCATTTAAATTTGTTCTAGTTTTTAATATTCGTTGCTTTCTTTTTGAGTTTTTTGTTTTATTTTATTTGTTTTTAATTTTTTAAAAATGTGTTTCTGTATGTGAAATCTAAGATAGATAAATCAATAGAGGAAAAAGCTCAATGAAGGTTTCCTAGGGGTATGGCAGGGGAATTTGGGGGGGGAAATTGAGGAGCTAATAGCAATGAGTACAAGATGGAAGAAAATGTTCTAAAATTCATTGTGGTTAAGATTATACAACTTTTTGATGTGATTGAACTATTGGATTTCATGATATGTGAATTATAAGCCAATAAAGCTGTTGAGAAAACCCTGAAGAATATTATACCTAGATTTTAATGTAACTATATAGATTCAGTTTCAAAAGCTTTTTCTTTATTTAGTAGTACTACACACATTGAAAGGAAAGATAATCTATAAAATAATAGTAGCATGAATTCTGACCCACATATGAAGGGGTACCCCAAAATACTGGATATTTTTTCCCAAAGCTATGTGTTTAAATTGTTTTACAAAAAACTTTATCACCTTCAGAGTACTCTCCATTACACTTAAGACATTAGTCAAATCTACGATTCCATTCTTGGAAACATTTTTCAAACTCATCTGTTTGGTTGGCTGACAGCACCTCCCTTGTCTTTTTCCTTTACCTTTTCTACATCCTCAAATCGCTGTCCTTTAATGTCCCTCTTCATTTGCAGAAACAAAAAGAAGTCGCACAGAGTGAGTTCAGGTGAGTAGGGTGTGTGGGGCAAGAGAGGCATGCCCCTATTGGTTTCAGAGGTTTTAAATCTTTGCAGGAGCAGAAAGCCTCATCTTTTACCCAAGGATCAGATGGTGGAGTTGACTGTTGACCTCATGGCTAGAGCCCAACGAATAACCCACTATGCTGAGCATTCTAATGATTAATGCATACCATTACACAATATAGTCTACGTCAAAACTGTTAATGATATGTTAATACAAATTCACGTAGGGCAAATTAGGTTCCTCATTTTAACAACCGAGTGAAGTTATTATTATACAGTTTTCCAAAAGTAGATAAACCACTGGGAGTGGGGCAAATTATATTAACTTTAAGTTTGATTTCTAAAAAGTCTTTAAAGGAGCATACAAAATCTCCTTTTGGTTACTCTAATTTAAATTTAAGAAAATAAATGCATCCAACCTTCTAATATTTTAGCACTTGGATCTTTGATATCCCCTTCAGTCTCCCTAAAAACAAAAGCAAATGAATATTTTATTTTCCATATATTTTGTTTAAGCAAAAGAATCATTAGTCAGTTTTCATATCAATGTAAACACTAGGAATATTATTGTCCTGAGTTTCTAAATCAAATGTAAATGATTGATACATTGATTGTCATTTGAGACTATTCATGCCTTTTCTCTTCTCCATTGATGTAAACAATCAAGAAGGATCTGTATTTCTAAATATGTTAAGTTAGCTGTTGCACAGAAGTAAAGAGGCAATAGTGGACAAAGAATAGGTAATCCCATCTGACATCAGGAGAAACTGAGACAATAGTGTTAGGTGGAAAACTTAATGTAATCCAATTAATTCTCTACTTATATCCGATGTTCCACTCATGATGTAATATGCTATATTCCAGTTTGTTAATATTCTTAGTAAATTAACAATTTTGGACAAGTTTTAGCTAATGAGTTAATTTCAAGGTAACAGCTCATTTGTCCCTCCCTGTCCCCTATAAATGCCACACAGTCTAGATTTTGCTCCAATAGTCCTCCTAACTTGAATTTTCTGCCTCTCTTTAACATCCTGTCCATTTGTGAAAGTCCACATGAAGCTCCTTACTTTTCATAATGTGCCTCTGAATACTCTAGTTTTCCCTGCTCCTCTTTGCCTCTGGGTTCTTCTAACAAGCAGTGCTACATACCAAAGCTATGATTTAGCTCCTCCAGAGAGAGAAGCATAACTCATTTTTTAGGATCAAAGTGCAAATACTCCTGCTAACCCAGTGTCTGAGTGATGGAAGAAAACGTCCTAACACATTAGCAAAGTTCTTGATTCCCAACACCATTATAACTAGAAAACAGATCTCAGAACAAGCAAGTCGAGGCCAGATAACTAGAAATGGGGGAGCAAGAAGGAAGGAGAGGCATAGGAAGTGACCACAGTGAGAAGTGAAGGAAGGAAGAATGAGTTGGATATTAAGGAAAGTATATGGCTGAATATTTTCTCTCTCAGACTTTGACCAACAAAGCTGAACACAAACAATTTGCCATTGAGCCGATTCTAACTTATGGGGAACCCGTGAGCTGTGAGGCTGTCACCTTCTGGAAGCTGATTATCAGCTTTTGGTGGGTTGGAAGACCCCATCTGTCAGGGAACAAGTCAATCACGTCACTGTATGCACCACCCCAGGATTTCCAGGAAATCAATTTCCCCCATAAGCAGAATTTTCACCTCTATTTTTATATTGTTTAAATTTGATATACCCTGCAGAGGTCATCATATCTTCTTGGTTGTATGAAGATGAACTCATAATTCGGTGTATGAAATAATGTGTCGGTTCATTTATAGGCCTGTTTTCTTCTTTCTGCAAAAGCATAAATCATGCATTACACAGAGCAGAATTTGATATGCATTTTGTCACCTTATTGGCATATGCTGCACTTTCATTTAGAATGTAGTGAGATAAAGTTTTAGAATTACTTAAAAGATGTCCACTAAAACGACCCTTTGGTTGTCATTCTTTGGAAATTTCTCAGTGAAGATTGTTTAAATCATGGTACTCAATTTTAATAGATTTAAACATAAAGTTACACAATGTTTGAAGAATATGATCTTTTTATTCCTCTATGAACATTTTACTCAGCTTTACTAAGTTCAAAAATATAAATAACATTATTGTGATCTCTATTATTGACATCAAAATAAGAGACTGCTACCATTATTATTAGTATTATTATTCCCAAAATCAATTTTGGTGTTTGCCGATGTTCTACCATAACATTTTGTTGGTTCTCTATAGAACTAGCATAATCATGCTACATAAGAAAACTGTTCAGAAGACTTCACTTGGCCATAAAATCTCAGGTGACTTATCAGCAAGTAGATCGGGGTATGCTGTAAAGCAAATAATCTGGAACATTTGTGAACTGTCCAGAATTTTATCCCTGTTCATTTTCTCTGGTTCACTCTAGCTTATGTGTCAACAAGGGTGTGGTTCTCAAATGGATCATCAAGACCATTTTTTCACCAGGAAAACTTACACTATATGTATGCTCCAAAATTATGCTATGATACAGATTTGAGGGCAGGTCCGAGCCCAAGGGGTATCAATGCAACCACTTGAGGCAGAAGGAGCCCCTGCACACCATAATGACAGGGGGATTTATGTGGCGTAGAGATGATATTTAAAATACCTTGGTTAATTTAAGTTTGGGAGAATTAGCTAAGTACATTAGAACCTGAAAAAGCCAGAACCGGTGTTAAGTGGGAACGTGGTCAGGGAAGGCAAACGCACTGGATGCTTGAGGTCGGATTCGGACTAGAGTCACGGAAGCACAGGAAGCGTGGTCGCCCTGCAAGCTGCGGCTGTCACCGCTTTCACGGTAACTTTGAAGACGGACGTGGGCTACGTACGAGTATGCACCTTTTCCCCAAGTTACAGCTATCGAGTGACAGAGTCAGGATTCAGACTCAGAAATGGAGCGGGTGTCCAGTCCACCGAAATGAAACCGAAGTACTTGATTCTAGTGCTTCCACTAAAGGGCTGGCATTTTCTCAACTGTTTTATATATTTTTGTTTTCCGTGTGCTTCTAATTAATCTAGGTCTCTTTCCCTTATCTGCTTTGCCTTAATTGAGGCCCATTGTGTAAATCTATTATTTCCCATATATAAAAATGTCACCGGCTTTATGACAGACTGGGTCTATTTTAGTACGCTGTCTGCATAATCAATGTCGCATGCTTGGACAGGCTTTTAAAAGCTCTCCGCCCTTTCCCCTGAGGTAGTCAGGGACTGGCGGTCCCCTTTCTCACTTACACTATGCTGTGGCGGCTTCTCCCTCGAAGGTGCCTTTCTTTCAGTTGCAAGGACCGAGAAGGTGGACATATCAAGCTTGGCGACAGCTTTTCGGACCTGTTCTTCCTGGCATTCTGACAGGTGATCAGAGGTGGTTTCGATACTGTCCATGTTGCTACTGGAGGTCGGCTGACAGCATTTGCTGAGAGACAGAAACTTTTTCAGGCTGCTGGTGCTTGCTGTGGGTTTGGTAGAAACGGCTTTGCTTGCGACTGGCTTCGCAGCTCCTGTCCCTGGCTGCTCTTCTTCTTCCAAGAATCCTTCCTGTACAACCTCTCGTAGAACAACTTCATCTTCATAACTAAGGACACTCTCTTCTTTCATTCTCTCTGGATAGTCTTGCTCGATATCATGAGCTACTAACCGAATGATAAGATCTTGTTTGTTTTGAACATCTTTTAGAAGCTCCACCCTGGCGAGATCAGGCTTTCTTATATTCTGAAATGAATTTCGGCCAACAGCCTGGAATGGAAGGCACGATGAATCTTAAAAATATAGATCTCAAACATTTATTTCTCTTTGGAGTCTATCATCATGACTCTGTTTTCATATCATTTCTAGTTTCAGTATGGTAACATTATCTACAAATACAACTTAGTTATATATTAGCAAAGTATTTAAAGGAAGAAACACATGAAAATTGTAGAGTATATGGTTTCTAGGATTTATTTTATAGGCACAATTTTATTAACTTATTAAAAATTATTCACCCAAAAAATAGGGAATGGTCTAATGTACTTCTTTCTTTTGCTTAATTTTCACATTTTGGCGCAAAAATAAGTTGATTAGTTCCTATTTTTGTTATCTTGAAGTTTTTCTCACAAAAATTATAACATTTTCAAAGATCCCAGGTGGAGCATCCTAAAGTAATCTAAATGGTAGTTTTAATAAATTTTAATAAACTTGATTTTAAAATGATTAATAATAGCCCAAACTCTGATGGTTTTAGAATTATTACTCCTATGCCTTTCCTTAGGATCCTTTGAGAACATTTTCCCTAAAAGCTTCAAAACATACATTTTCATTTCTTCTCATCTTATTAAATGTCCCTTGCCATTTTTAAGAATTGAAGCTAGATCAAGGAAGAGACAATAATTAAATCATGGAACGTCCCGGTGTCTGTAACTGTAGACACTGAGTCCACTCAAAACAAACAAACGCACAGCTTTCTATTTGATTCTGACTTATAAGCTGAAAACCACAGTCATTCTGGGGAAACATAAGGCTTGCTACTCCCTCCTGTAAAGGCAGCCTCAGAAACTTACAGGGGCAGGTCTAGCTCCTTCTGATGAGGACACTATGAGTTAGAAGATGCCCACAGTCTTAAAATTGACTTCAGTCAGTAGTTTTTATTTTAACATCCTGTTATAACACTTTCAGTGGCCTTTTCAGATAATGATGCCCTAAACAAATTTTTTTGGTGGAAAGCAAAAGGTAAGAAGAAGCTTTTTGAAGTATGAAATCACGATTTTGACTATTTGTGCTAAGGAGAATAGAAAGAGGCTTTAAAAACAGTCTTTCCAAAGGGCTTTGGCATTTGTTAGCCGACGTGTCTGACTGCACAGAGTTAACTTTGATCCCCAGGGGGCACCGTGAGTTGGGATTAAACTCAAAGGCTAAATGAAAACATATCATATATTGGGCTTTCAGTCTAACGTTGATGACTTTTGCTGAAAGTAAAAAGGTACCACCACAGAACCTCAATTTGGAGAGTTTAAAACCACTATGTTTGTGGAAGCACTTATGATGATGATGATCCAGGATTGCAGCCTCAATATAGATGACAACTTAATATAAAACACAAAACTCCTCACCACTCGACCAGTCAGTAACATCATGATTGATAGAGAAGAGATTGAAGGTGCCAAGCACTTTGACTTGACTCAACAGTCCATGCTCATGGATGCAGCATTGGATGAATGTTCTGCACAAGACCTCTTTCAAGTTGACAAATAAGGCTTTCCTGTTCAGGACTAGTGGGTGCCTGATTCAAGCCATTGTCTTTTCAATCACCTCAAATGCACAAGAAAGTTGGACATTGAATTAGACAGGAGAAGAATGGATGCATTTGAATTATGGAGCTGATCAAGGATCTTGAAAATACAACGGACTGCCAAAGAATAAACAAATCTTGTAAGAAGTACAGTTAGCATGTTCCTTAGAAACAAAGATGGCGAGACATTGTCTCATGTACTTCAAGCCCGTTTTCAGAAAAGACCAGTCTCTGGAAAAGGACATTGAGCTTGGTAAAGAGGAGGGACATCAAAAAAGGGGAAAAGCCATAGGGTATAGATTGACATCATGCCTGTAACAACATGCTCAAAGCTACCAATCATTCTGCGGATGACACACGACTGGGAAAAATTTCATTCGGTTGCACTTAGGGTTTGTATGAATGGAAACTAATTTGACAAACCTAACACTCATTTTTATGTTATACTGAGGCTTTCTTGAACACCTTATGAAATCCTTAATAAGATAATGCTTTTTCTTTTTTTCATTTTATTGGGGACTCTACAACTCTTATCACAATCCATACAACGATTGAATCAGGCATATTTGTCCATATGTTGCCTTCATTCTTTTGTTGACATTTACTTTCTTTTTTTATTTAATCATTTAATTGGGGGCTCATACAGCTCTTATCACAATCCATCCATCCATCCATTGTGTCAAGCACATTTGTACATTTGTTGCCATCATCATTCTCACTGACTTTTTCAAATAGGATTACAAACCCACTCAGTTTGGTGTTGTTATCAAGGGTCATGTACTATGTTCCTATTCTTGAAAATAATTTTAGTACAACCTGTTTGGCTTATGGAAACTAGCATTAGATCTTTAACATGAAATACAGAGCTGATAAAGGCAAGTTCCCCTAAGTCATAACATTGTACTGAAATTGATCAGTGCTCTCAATTCTCCAATTAGGCTGGAGAGAGAGAGAGAGAGAGAGAGAAGGGGCATCCCATTAGACCTATCTCAGGAAGGATCTCAGAACAACAGCGTCTTCCTATTCACTCATTTTGTACCATTGTTCTTGACACTCACCTCAAAGGGCTTTACATCCAGTCGTCCTGTTTTATTCAGTGAGGGGCGTCTTTCTTTCTTTGCCTTTTCTCTCTCTGTTAAGCGTGTTGAGGAGTAGCTTTTCCCACTTAACGACGCTCTTCTCAGTTCTGCTATGGTATGCCCAGTTGTTTTCAAACAGTCCAGCTTAATCTTCTCAAGAGGTTGAGTTTTTACAGAAAGGACTGCTAAATGTTCAGAAATAATGGCTGGATCTATACTGATTGGTTTATTCTTAATATGTGGGACTATTTTAACTGGTAATTCTTCAGCTGAACAATGCTGTGAGCCTTCTTTCTCTACCTCAGGAACAATAAGAGAATGCGATTGTGCCTTTTGAACAATTCGATCAATGTCCAAATCTCTAATGAGATCAGCGTTCAAATACTTTGAGCTACTTGTATTTACTGGAAAATTGGAAATGTTATTGACAATTAAATTAGCGACCTTTTGAGGTAAGACTTTGTTTGTATCTCTTATATCGTGAAAAAGGTTTTCTTGAGAGCCAGATTGTTGTAGCACGTTACTGTAAACGGAGTCAACGACTTGAGAAACAATCTCTGTGCTTTGTTGATTTAAAGGGTGTTCTTTAGGGTCTGCAGCTACAAGGCTAATGTTACTCTTTGAAATTTCTGCTGTGACAAACTTTGTCAGTTCAGATGCGATTTTATTTAACTCGGGCTTTGATATGTTCGTATTCTCATTTATTGATGCGCTGGGCACCCCTATTAGCTTAGCCAAGAATAAGCCCAGAGCTTCCTCTATAAACAGAGCATCTAGCACAGCACCCTTTTGGGATAGGGGTTTTTCATGGGACTTCATTTCATTAATAATTCCAATCACTTTTTCCATAATCCTGACGGCTTCTAGAACCAATTCAGAGTTTGATAGCTCTTCCTCTACTTGAGGTTGAAATTCTGAGTTAGAGATTTCTTTCACCATCAAACAACCTATTATATCAGAAAGGACATTACTCTTACTCATTAAGTCTTTAAATACAGAATGATATGAGCCAGACAAGTTTAAGACACTGGTATACACAGAATTAACTACATTTTCAATAGTTGCATTATCAGCACAAGGTATAGTGGGTGATTCCTTGGCTGGGCGTGTAAGTTTAATCTGACTCTTGGAGATAAATTCTTGGACTGAATTTAAAATTTTTGAGCTTATGTTTTGCATTTCAGTTTCTAGAGATTTGGTTCTTCCTTTGTTCACTCTTGGCAACTTAGAAAACAGCTTTGATAAAAATTTCACCGCGATGTCTTCCAGGATGCTATAAGACAGTTTATGAGCCTGTGATGGTTGAGATTGGGGGGCATCAGTAGTTTGGACAACAGTGTTAAGGATATTTTCAACTACATAGTCAATCTCTGCACACTGACATGGAGTTAGCTCCCCAGAAAAATAGTTCTGCAACTGATTGCCAGCCACTTCTCGTAACACCAGGTCAACTATGGCGTCTGAAAGGATTCTGCAACCACTGGTTACACAGTTTTGAATAATCTCTTGAGATCCAAACTGTGGCAAGAGATTATTATAAATCGATTGAACTACTAATTGAGCAATTTCATTATCGTTAGGATGTAAAGATTCTACATATTGTATAATCATATCTTCATCTTTAGCAATCTTTGCCATGACTGTACTAACTAATTTCAGTTGAAGAAAATCCATTTCTGTGAAAAAATTGTTCTCAATTGTTTCTGTTTTGGTATTGGAGTCTGTGGGGAAAATTTTATATAAAAGAGAAGAAATTACATCCTCTAAAAATTTATGAGGCAACATTATGGTATAGGGTGATGATGTTTGACATTCTTTGTTGGCTGTGTGGGCCACTTTTTTGATCCTTTTGACAACATCCTTAGATTGCAGAGGCAAACACGCGGACGCGGGAACTTCATCACCAAATACCAAGTTCAGCTGATGTTGAAAGATTTCATCTATCACAGCACTAGTTAGTCTTCTTGCTAAAAATTCTCTATCAGTGTTTATGTTCTTACAAATGGAATCTTGAGACTGATATTCCTTCAAAATATTGCATATGGAAGAGTGAACAACTTTATTAACCAATGCTTTATCAAGTGCTGGCATTTTATCTATAAAAGGTAGTTTATTGGAAGAGGATTTCTTAGTCATTTTATGCCCAGGTGCTATCTGATCCACAGTTATCATCATGATGCTAGACGATGCTTTAGCTGAAGTTGCCTCCTTTTGCCTGGGAGGTACCTTAGGCTCTAATGGGACTTTACCTGCGGGTAGGCAAACCTGCTTTTTCTTCTCTGGCCTAAATACTTTAATTTGAGCATCTGAAAACTCCTTTAAGAGAGAATCAATCAATTTCATGGCTGTGTCATAGAGTTCAGCTGGATTTTCACCATCAGTCACATTTTGGAAATGATCATATGTTTGTGCTTCCTGTGGGGAAGAAAAGATCAGCTTGTTAATCATTTCCATGATCACATCTTCTAAAAAACTGGCCGGGATAATTCTAGGTTTATTTTCTGGTGAGTACTGAAGACCGTCTTGTTTACCAGGTTCACTCTTAATCTCTTTAAAGTGAGCTCTCTCTTCCTCTATTTCTTTGGCAGGGACATGTTCAGTAATTGAGGAGGATAAAGCTTTTGTTGAAACAGACTGTACAGAATCCTTACCAACCTCTTGAGTTATATGTAATGCTTTATCACCTGGGGAACTTTGGGATTTCAGATCATTTTCTTGTTCTTGAGAATATAGTTCCAAAACATTTTCATAAATATTTTCGGTGACATTTTGAACACTTTCAGCATCCACGTATTGCTCATCATTTGTAGCAACTTGAATGGCAACGTCTCTCATCCCAACACTGCATAGTTTTTGGGTAAGCATGTTCTCCATTGTGATCTCCTTGGTTTTTGCATTGAATATGAAAGAAGGCATTTTAAGAGGCCTACCATCATTTAGTGAGAATCTTTCTCTCGTTTTAATACTTTTCTCTTCATTGTCTATTTCAAAATCTGATCTTGGTGCACTCTTACCAGATTGTGTGACATCAGTGGCTGCTAAAAAATGTGTCTGTATCTCATCACCGTGACCTTCTTCATCCTTTGGAGGTGCTGGGCTTTTGTTCTTCGTTTCATTATTACCAGGTGTTACCATTAAATCTGGCTCTTGAGTGTCCTCACCTTCCCTAATGCTAGACGGATAAGTAACTTTTGGCACAATGTTTTCTTCAATTGCAGTTTCCATTTTACCTTTATCCTTGTTTATTTGATTTGCCACATCTGGCACCATATTGCTTTTCATAATGCTATTTACAGAGTTAAGTGTTGGATCAAGGACAGCTTTTTGCATTGATTTCTCCTCTTTGATGGAAATTTTCTCTCTGCACACTTCCTCTCTCTCGATTTCCATAGTGTCCTCTGTATTTTTCTCGTCTAAGGCTGGAGTGGTGTGTTTGTGTGACTCTTCTGGTAAAGTAAGTTGGTTCCCTTCTAAGCATCTGTATGCCTGTGTGGGAGTTTCTTGTGGTAGGTGTTGAACTCTTTGGGTGATATTATCTGGATTCAGAAAGGAAAAAAAGGTAGAAAACCAATCCCCTGAAAAAAGTGGCTGAATCTTGAAGGCAGAGATCGCCCTCTGAACTAAAGAAGCAATGCTTTCTATAAAAATGTTGCTTTTATCGTCTTTATGAATATCACTAGTTCCGTACTTTCCTATGAACTGATCATACACAAAATTGGATATATTATCAATGGTCTCTCTAGCAATTGGTGGGAAAGAAAAGATTTTTTCTGCATTTGGTAGAACTTTGATATCACATTTACTAAATTCCTCTATCAGAGAATTGGCAAATTTTATGGCCAACCTTACAATGTTTGACTTCGGCATTTCTTTTTCTTTAGAATCGTCAGCAACACTTTGAAGAGAATAAAATTTACGTACAAGGTCAACAATTACATCTTCCAAAAATGTAGCTGAATATAGGGACGGTTGTGATTTTGCCTTCCCAGATTCAGCAAGTGTAGAGCCATGGCCACAATCAGATAAGTCACTGGAAGATGATTCCTCATCAGATAAAAATGGCCTCAAATGATGATCCACGATTTCTTTCATAATCAAGCCAGCTAAATTACTGAGAAACGAACCTCCTATTTTATGTGCATCTTTCTTTACTTCAGTTTGGAATTCGGACTTCTTCAAAATGTTGTTACATATGGAGTCAACCAAATTTTCAATCACTTCTAATTGCATAGTTTCCACATTCTCCTCTGCTGTGGCAAGTCGGATCTCATGTTCAAAAATTTCCTGTATAATTTCATCGGTCAATTTGGTAGCTGCATCTACAAATTCACCATCTGATGGCACCATCTCTTTGTCTTTTAGTTCATTTTTGAGGTCTGTGAATGGGAACATATGCATCAGAAGCTTGTAGATCATGTCTCGTAGAAGGGAATGTGGCAGCACAGTAATAAAGGATGGCACAGTTTCGTTATCCTGTAGGAGGGTGTTCAGCACTTTTTTGATGATGTTGTCTGCTTTGGGGAAAGAATAGGAAGAATTTGCTAAGTCTCCTGAAACTAAGGTCTGCATCTGGTAATCATAAATTTCTCCCAAGAGGAAGTGATATATTTCCCTTCCAAAACCCATAGTATCACTTTGTATCGCCTTATGTACTTGAATCAGAGTCTTATATTCATCTAATATTTTTTCATAAATCACGTTGACCATGTTTTGAACCATTTCTTTGTATCCTTCTGTTAAACAGAGATTTTCATCCACATCATCTACAAGCAAAATCTCTGATGTGGTGAACTCCAGAACAATCGATTCTACTAATGCTGTAACAATGCCAATAGTCTTGGCTTTTGCTTTATCTGGATTTTCAACAGCTAAGGCATCATGTGAGAATGCATAAAGGACTTTGCATAAAAGCTCAGAAATTACTTCTTCCAAAAAGACAGCTGAGTTCACAATGGAAGACAATTCTCTCTGTTTGGAATCTATTGCTTTCTGTTTATAAGTTTGATCACCTGCAGCTGAAAGGAGAGTTTTGTCAGCAGATACAAATGACTGGAGGTGGTGGTTAAATATTTCTTTTATTATAAAACTTGCTATTTTTGAAGCAGATATGTCACTTATGCCTTTTTTATCTTTTGTAAGAGACTGGTATAGATTTGAATAGGAAAGATCCCCATAAATGGAATCAATCATAGACTGGATATCCTTTTCAGAAATCATGCTTTGTTTTTCACCACCATGTTTAATGATACATATTGCATGCTTTGAAATTATTGATATAATTTCATTTATTAGTCTCATGACTGTGTTACTTAAGTCTGATTGACTAGTATCTGAATTATCTATACTAGAGGCCAATGAACTTATCTGAGATATAAGCTGAGTGACTATTTGTTTCAAATGATTATGCGATAACATAGTAGTGTATGTTGTTGAAGCTTGTTTTCGGAGTCTTGATTTCCCAAGATCATATTTAACTCTGTTTATCAAAGTACCAGCACTGAGTTTGGAATGTGAACTGTAAGGCAGTTTTGCTACAATATCTGGATGAATCTGGAAATCAAAGATTTCAGTCAGGATAGTTCTAGTTATCTTCGCAGCCAGTGCCTTTGTGTCAGTTAGAAAATCTTTACTGGGCCTGGGTTCCATTTCATATTCTTGCAAAACTTTGCTGTACACTCTGTCGACAATTTTTACCACTAAATCTTTTTCGACTGGAGGCAAAGCCAACAGATCCTCAGCATTTTCTATGGTGCTGACTTGGGCATTTGAGAATTCCTTGACTATTAAAGGTATTAGTTGGTTAGCTGCTTCCAATAGTTCGTTTTCTAAGTCTCTTACTGATTTTGATTGCACAATTCCTAACAACCTGTGGAATACTTTGCTTAAAACCCCAGAGATCACATCTTCCAAAAATCTTGAGGAATAGACGCTGGCATAAAATAACTGCCTTCTCTCATCATCAGAATAAGTCCGTGATGATGACGGTGATACTCCTCCATCCACAAATGCCTGAAGATGTTGTTGACAGATACTTTTAATAATAAAACCTGCTATTTTATCAGTGAAAGCCTCATTACCATTGGTGATGTTTTTCCCAATTGAATCTGGAGATCCAGAGTTTTGGGAAATATTTTTGAATACCGAGTCAACGAGATTCTGAACATCACTCTCTGAATAAACCGAGCTAGTTTCGTCTTCATCTTTTGAAAATCGAATTTCATGTTGGGAAATTTTCATCCTAATGTCACTGATTAGATTTGAAGCAACTTCATTGAAATTCACTGCTGATCTCTCTTTTGGAGTTTCTTTGTTTGGAATCATGCTATACGTGGAAGGAAAAATTCTAGATAATAGTACTCTGATCATATCCTCTAAAAATGTGTATGGCAGTAAGGTATTATATGGAGATAAATTCTGGCCTGGCTTGGTAGATTTACAGATGCTACTAAGAATGTCCTGAGCAATATTCTCAGCCATTGAAGTAGAATAGGGAGAAGCTGGCAAATCCCCGGATAACAGTGGATGAAGGAGATAATCTGAAATGGCAGCTACAATTAAGTTGGTAATATTGTCCACAAAAATATCATTGTCTTTTAATCCCTTGACATTATCAGGATCTAGCTCATGCTGTTTTAAAACATTTCTGTAAACGGATGTGACTAATTTATCTACAATATCTGTATCTACAGATGGGTGAGATGGCTCTTTGTCATCATACACTGTGTGAATTTTTGCTTTGTCAAAATGATCATTTATTGAGTTTACTATCTTCTGGGTCATTTTTTCCAGATCAAATTCAGGATGAGGCTTTGAAATGAAGATCTTAGATAAAAGCCTGGCAACGATTTCTTCGACGAATGCATCAGGGTAGTCACCAACGGGAGATGGCTTTGGGGATCCCTGTGCATATGTGACATCAAGGAGAACATTTTGAACCATCGTAGATATTTCATCCAATGGAGTCGGAGGGCGTGGCAAACTCTCTTCACTCAAAAAGGGTTGAAGATGACTTTCAATAATTTCCTGGATAATACAACTGGCTATCCTGTCAGCTATAACTGGGCTTTGGCTTATTATACTTTTCTGTATTGAAACAAGAGAGTCGGACCTTTGCAAAACATTACTATAAACTGAATCCACCATCTGCTGAAGATTTTTTCTGGTATGCGGACAGAGATTATCACATATAGTTAGCCAAATTTTGTGTTTGGATATGGCTGACAGAACCTTATTTATTATGCAGTTGGACATTTTGTGGAAATCTGGACTCATGAAGTCGGTCTTTCCCAAAGAGAAAGACTCACTGGCTGGAGGAACAAGCTGCAATAGGAGCTTCCTGATAACGTCTTCTAACAGGGAGTGCGGAAGGAGGGTGCTGCAGCCTGTCGCAAACCGAGGCTGGGAAGTAAATTCTTTCAGGCGACCCTGAAGTTTTTGCAGAATGATGTCAGCTTTCAGAGGGTAAAACGCATTTAACTTCAAATTCCCTTTAAGGTAAGGTGGAAGTTGGTAGTCTAAAATTTCTAGCAATATGCCACTAGTTATTTGTTCTGCTATTGAAGTATCATCATATGGCAGAATTCCAGCACAGGTCACTTTCAATTTATAGCGCTGTACAATGTCATTATAAATTGTGCCAACAATCTTACCAACAGTATCATTATCAGTTGGTGGAAAACACAGCCGTTCTTCAGCATTCCGTAAAAGAGTGACCTGTGAATTGTTAAACTCATTCACCACAGATTTGACAAAGAAAGTATTCATTTCATTGAGGGCGGCCTCAGTAATGTTTTCATTTGTTCCCAACAATGAGGTGGAGAGATTAAAAAACAGTTGTGAAATTATTTCCTCCAAGAATGTGGCTGAATAAACCTTCATATTTTTGCTTCCATTATCGATGGCCGTGGTAGTTACTTTTCCCCCTCCCTGTCTCATTAAAGCAGATGCAGGAGCTCTTACTGGATATTGTTTGCCAGATGGTGCTTGTATTTTAGGTGTAACCTTATTGGAATTATTCAGGGGTTTTCTCAAAGTTTTTTTGTCAAAACTCACGAATCCTATTGAGTCACGATCTTGTAATTCTGTGAATTTTGGATTTCGGGTTTTTGTGAAACTAGACTGTTCTATTCTTGTTCCATACTTTTGGTGCATGTTTGCAGAAGGTGAACTTTCAGAGGTATGTTGACTATCATGAGATAGTTTATCCATCAGTGATTTTACCAAGCTGTGGGAAAGAACAGTAAGCATAGAGTCTGATGACAGAGAATCTTGGTCTATTTCTGCCAAATTTTCCAAAAAGTCTGACATGTAATCTTCGTGAAATTGTTGACGGTTCGAAGCCCCCTGGCAATCAACTTCGTCACCTTCTACACTTTCAAACATTTTAAAGAGTTGACATTTTTCTGCTTCATCAGGACAAGGGCCACTTTTATCAAGGCAGCTAGTGCTTGTGTATTTTTCCAAAAGTGTTCTAATAAGTTTTTCGCATATGACATTAAGAAGAAAAACTGACTTTGGTGAGAGCCCTAGGTTATTTCCATGTGTGCTGTTATCATCCTCATTGTTTGAGGATGGGAAACGTGTCCTGGCTATTTTACCCAAATCCACAGACACATCTGGGCATTCTTCAGGCAAAAACGTATCCAAAAGAATATTAAACACTTTCCTAACTACGTCTTTGGATTCATGAGTTTTTAGGCTACCAACCAGACTGTCTAACTTACATGCCAGATCATTTATATTGTTTTTTTGAATTAATTGATCAATTTGATCCGGTAACTTTGAGTCGGTGGGCTCAGCCTCTCTTTTTGTGGGATTGGTTTTGTTGCAAGTGGCCGTATTTTGACTCCTAGACATTGAAAACGAATTGTTTCTTCCAGTGCTTTGAGGGCAACCATTTATTCCTATCTCTTTGGACAATATATGAATCACTCCTATTAAGAGATCCTGAAAGAGATCGTCAATCTCCGTAGCGGTAACTCCTGGGCAATACATATATTTTGTTTGTCTAGAAGTCATTTGCTGTGTAATTTCAGCCATGATAATATTACTATCAGATAGAATTTGAATAATGATTTCAGTAATGCTTAAAGCAAGTTCTGTAATAGGAATCGACCTGCTTTCGAACACATGGGAATGAATCGAAATAATCGTGTTAATTGCAACTTGGCTTTCCCATGCTATGACACCTTCTGTATCCTCTTCGAGATCTTCAAAAACTCTTGAAATCGTTTGTAAAATGACCAGCTCTGTAAGATGTTCACAAAATTGACCAAGTGAAGAATTATTGTGTATGTTTCTTAGAGACTGTTTTGATTCATATTTTTTCCTTGATGATGTAGAAACAATAGAGATCATTTCTTCACTGGAAACTTAAAAAAGAACATATTGCTATTTTTAGTACACAGCATGAAAATTTGACTATATTGGTAACTATTAATATTTACAATTTACTTTGGGAATGTCTTTAAGAAAAGCAAAGTCTAATAAAGTTAGGAATTGAGTTTCCATGAAATACTTATTATACATGTTATGAAATCTTTATTTTGGCTTGGAAATCGAGGAAACATCACCAAATAACTCAAATATATTGTCTCAATGTATGGCTTGATTGCATGTTTATGCACTAAAAATATGGAAATCCTGGGGTAGAGAAATAATTTCTAGGATTGGTGTTACATGCTAGCATGCCTCCAGTAATTTATAGAGTCGTCTTATAATTATTATTTTTAAAAATCTCTTTTCAGTCAAAATATTTAATTTTATACAGCACAGTACTTTTAGGAAGCACAGGAGTTGTGTGATAGCATCACTTTGACTAGAATGAAAGAATGGCAACTTGAGGTTGCGAATGGACGGCAGAGTGGCTGCAGTACTTTAACACCCGCATCACAAGCCACTTGCAATCAAGCCCATTCCGACTCACAGCTCTGTCCTTTGATCTTGTCATAAATATGGCGGTGTGCTGGCTTACACATGGGCTGCTAACCAGAAATTAAGGACTGACTAAAAGATTGGTTTAGAAATTAGTGAAAAGAATTCCCTTTGGACTTGTGTTTTCATGTATTTTAGGTAACAGCATTTTCTTAAAAAGTTATGAAAATTTAGGTAACTGCAATTATTAATATGTTACAATGTTTTTTTTAAATCACTTAGGGAAAGATTTATTCTAACCTGGATGTAGAATCCTATCACTTATCTGTCTTAGTTTTATTTTATTTGGTACTGTGGTGACTTGTGTGTTGCTGTGATGGTGGAAGTTACGTCACTGCTATTTCAAATGCCAGCAGGGTCACCTCGAGTGAGAGTATTTCAGTGAAGCTTGAAAAGAATAGACATCCAAGATGGACTGGCTCCCGACTTTGCCGGGAAAAAACCTGCAGAAAACCTTATACATAGCTTCTAAACATTGTCTGATCCGGAAAGCCCAAACAAAGGAAGCAGAAGATGGGCCCTCAGGTCCGAAGGCACCCAAAATGTGACTGAGGAGGTGCAGATTTCCTGGAGGGAAGTCACCCATGGTGACGTGAGCTGGTAAACCCTGTGGAAGTGGAGCCTTCAGGAGCTTCATTGGTGGATGGGGCACAACTCAACGTAAAGAGAAACAGCTGCACAGGTTTCTAACGATCAGAACTTGGGATTTGATCATTATGAATTTAGGAAAATAGGAAGTGGTCAGATATGAAACAGAATGCAAAAAATCAATATCCTAGGTATTGGTGAGCTTAAATGGCTCATATAAGCCATTTTGAATCAGGAAATCATATGGTGTCCTATACTGGGAATTACACAATCAAGAGAAATAAGGTGACATTTATTGTCTAAAAGGACATTGCAAAATCAATCATGAGGTATAATGCTGTCGGTGATAGGGTTATCTCTGTCTGTCTTCAAGGAAATCCAATCAATACAGCTATAATTCAGCTTTATGCACCAACCGCAAAAGCTAATGATGAAGAAGTTGAAGCGTTCTAGCAATGACTTCAGTCATAAAATGATAAAAGATGCTGTCAAGATGCATTGATAATTATTGGTGATGGGAATGCAAAAAGTTGGAAACAAATAGGAAGGAACAATAATTGGAAAATATGGACTTGGATGGACTTGGTGGTAGAAACTAAGCTGGAGATCACGTGATAGAATTTTGCAAAACCAACAACTTATTCATAACAAACACCTCCTGCTAAAACCAGACCAGGGGCTGACTGTGGAACAGACTCAATTAGTTCTTACATGAGTTCAAGATAAACTGGGGGAAATTTTTAAAAGCCCATGAGAATCAAAATATGGCCTTAGGTCTATCCCACCTGAATTTTGAGAACATCTCAACAATAGATTTGATGCATTGTACATTAATGACAGAAGACCTGGGAGTGGGGAGGGGGGCAGGTGACACCAAGACCAGCATTCATGAAGAAAGCCAAAGGTAATTTAAAAGGTAGGAAGAAAGCAAAAGATCACAGTGGACCAGAAGAAACTGACTCGGCACTTAATTGTAGAGTAGCTAAAACAAATGGAAGAAAGGATGAAGTCAAAGAGCTGAATAGCAAATTTCAAAAGGAAGCTCGAGAAGACAGCGCCAAATTGTATAATGAAGTGTGCAAAGATTTAGGGTTGGGAAAAAGGAAAGGGGAGGAAATGCTCAGCATATCATAAACAGAACTGAAGAAAAATATTCAAGTCTCAAGTTGCAATCTTGAAAGCTTCTCTGGGCAAAATATTGTACGATGCAGGAAACCTAAAGAGAAGATGAATGAATACACTGAGCCACTGTTCCAAAAGGAACTCGTAGGCATTCCACCACTTCAGGAGATAGCACATGAGCAAGAATCAGTGGTGCTGAAGGAAGAAGTGCAAATGACAGTAAACGCATTAGCTGAAATCAAGGCTCCAGGAATTGATGGAATACCCACTGAAATGTTTCAACAAGCCGAAGAAGCACTGTGAGCCTGTACTCGTTTATGCCAGAACATTTGGAAAACAGGTACTTGGCCAATTGTAAGACATCCATATTTGTGGCCATTCCAAAGGAAACATGCCCCAACAGAATGTTCAGAATATAGATGAGTATCATTGATATCTCACACAAGTCAAATCTTGCTTAAGATCATCCAACAATGGTTGCAGCAGTATAGGGAATGCCGGAGGTTCAGGCTGGATTCAGAAGAGGATGTGGAACAAGGGATAGATCATTGAGGGTGTTAGATGAATCTTGGTTGAAAGCAGAGAATACCAAACAGATGATTTAATCGTGTTTCATCGACTGTGTGGGTCATCATAAACTATGGATAACCTTGAGAAGAATAGGAATTTCAGAAAACTTTATTGTACACAAGGAACCTGTACATGGATCAAGAAGCAGTTGTAGGAACAGTACAAGGACATACCGTATGGTTTAGAATTAGGAAAGATATGTTTCAAGGTTGTATCCTTTCACCATAATTATTCATTCTGTATGCTGCATCCAAGAGAAGTTGGATTGTATGAAGAAGAATGTGGCATCAGGACTGGGAGAAGGCTCGTTGACCACCTGCAATATACAGATGACCCAACTTTGCTTGCTGAAAGGGAGGGGGACTTGAAGCACACGCTGATGAAACTCAAGGATTCCAATCTTTCGTATGGGTTACAATTCAATGTAAAGAAGAACAAAATCCTCACACATGGCACCAATGTGTAACTTCATGATAATGGAGAAAGGGTTGCACTTGTCAATGATTTTGTATAGCTTGGAGCTGCAATCGATGCGCATGGAAGCAGCACTGAAGAGATCAAAAGACAACTCATGAGGTAAATCTGCTGCGCAAGACTTTCTCAGAGTATTGAACAGCAAGGGTCTTGCTTTGAGGATTTAGGTGCATCTGACTGAAGCCATGGTACTTTCATTTGCCTCATATGAATGTGAAATTTGGATTTTGAATAAAGAAGACAAGGGAAGAAGCCATACACTTGCATTGTGGTGTTGGAGAAAAATAATGGAAGTACCATAGACTGCTAAAAGGACAAACGGATCTGTGTTGGAAGAAGTAAGGCCGGAGTGCTCCTTAGAGGCAACGATGGCAATACTTCGTTTTACAAACTTTGGACACATTATCAGGAGAGACAAGTCCTTGGAAAATGACATCATGCTTGGTAAAGGGGTGGGGTGTATCAAAGGAAGGATAAGCCCTCAACCAGATAGGTAGACCCCATGGGAGCATCGATTGGCTCATGCATAGGAACCATTGTGAATATGGCGCAGGGCAGTGCAGTGTGCCACTGTATTATGCATAGAGTAGTTACTGGTTGGGCATAACCCAATGCATCTAACAACAATAACAACAGGATGCGGAATGATATAAGGCTTTGTGGAAGTCAGTGATTGTAAGCTGGTCTTCTAAGATCAGTTTGTGTTTAGTCATGTATAGGCGAAGAGGGTAAGAAAAAGTTTATTCTAAGTGAAAAAGAGCAAAATTACTGAAAGATTATGGAGATGGCTGAGAATACAAAATAGATTTGATTTTTTAAAAGAGCCAGTGATCAATGGAATAAAAAAATGGATCACTTGCTATTGTGCTATCTATTTGACTGTACCAGTGCACTGTGGTTTATAATCTTGTGGTAGCAGTGACGCAGATGTTTGCATTGAGTTCTCCGGAAGGTAAAGAACCTTCTTGTACAGGTGGTGAGGATCGATAGTAAATGTTCTACTAAATAATCAGTGTGTGATGTATCTGGACCAGTAATGCTGAAACTCACTAAAAATAGTTATGCATTTATATAATAATAAAATAAATTAATAACAAATAATATATAAAAATTATAAAATAACTCTTCATCCAGTTTAAACTACTACATTACTTATTGTTACACTGAATTTTATGAAATTAGAATAATCGATCTTTTTCGGCATGTATATTGTTTATGGTTTAATAATAAAGGCAAATCAGTATTTCCTGGGAAAATGATGCAAATGATCTTGTTTAAGAGTAGGTTTAAAGTATTAATGGAGTATTAATAGAGTATTAAATTAAAGGAACTAAATCTGAGTCATGGCATATCACATTCTTATAAAATGTGAGTGATGGAGGCTTGAGTTTTCAACTTTAAAAAGTTGAATTGATAACGTATTTAACTCTACAAGCATAGATTATGTCATTAGTAGTAACATAACAACAGCAACAAAATCTCAAAGGAACTCAAACCCAATGCTTAACCAAATCCATTTTCTCTCATCTGCAGATAGGGAAAAACTAGGCATCACCTCTCTCTCTTCTAGTTCAAACCATGCAAACGTTCAACTTCATGGGGTTTGTTTTGTTTTGTTGGTTTGCTTTTTTAGCATCCTGACAAATTAAAAAGTAATAAAGGCGTGCACCAAGGCCATCTTCAGAAAAATATTGAGTACAGTGCCTTGGAGAGAAGGTAAATTTTTTATTCTTAATCATTGACTTTCCTCCCTAAGTATTTCCTCTTTGTTTAGTGTGGTTTATCTAATTCTTACCTCTAGTTTCAACATTCTTGAAATGCGTGATCACAGATCTGGTGACGTGTCTTGCTATCAAATAAATTTCATTTGGACCAAGTTCATGATCAGCAAAAGCAATGACTTCAAGGTCTTCCAGAGATCTTATTCTCTTTATCTTCACGGAATTTTGTTTCCATTTTTGCAATAAAGGGAAATCTCTGCTGGCTTCAGGGTTTTCGTAGTCCTCGTCTACCATGCAGCTAATATTTTTATCCCACGTTCTAAGCAAATTTTCCTCCTCAGTTGCTTCTTCCTCAGGTATTCCAGACAGAGGGCTTTGATGAGACATGAAAAATGGTTTCATTGTTTCCATGCTTTCATCAGTGTGTGGTTGAGTGTGTGGTTGACTTGGAAAGCCAAAACTTGACAGGACAGTATTGACGATGTTTTCTGCAGCTAAGCATATTTTGAGTGGAGAAACACTTCTCTCAATTTGTGTTGACTCCTCAACTGGTTGTAGGTTTTTATAATGAAATGCTCCTGGACTTCCTCTTTTCTCTTTTTCTATGAAAGACATGGCTTGCTTTAATGCTGTTTCTGTAGATTCATTTGCTTTCTTAAACAGTTTATTTAAGACACTGTCTTCGGGGACAGTGTTATTTCCTCTCATGACTTGATCATAATAGACGTAGCTGTGACTTTGTTCTGTGTTTCTAGAGAATGATAATGTTGTATTTGAATCAAACTGTTCCACTAACTCTGAGCTTTGAATTGTGTTTCCAACAAATCTGACATATGTGGGTTGATTCGATGAAGGCCTATACTTTTTCTTCTTATCATCCTCTGAATAAGACTCCACGCAAGGTGCACTGACCTGTGGAGGGTTATTCCTGAAACTAGTTTCCTTTAAATCTGATGTGGACATTTTCATATTTCTTGACAATTCAACCTGATTAACAATGTAGACATTATCAACCCCTTGGAACATATTTTCTTTTGGAAGATTTTCTATCAAAGACCGATTGAAATTTGAACATTGGTCTATCAGCGTGCCAATGATTTCACTGGCTATAATGTTCTCTTTCAGTAAACTATCCGAAGCTGGTTCCTCTTGGCTTATTTCTTTGTCTAGCTTGTCCTTAATTATACCAAGCATGTCACTGATAATATTAGTAGCATATGTAAGTAACTCTGAGTGGAATCTATGAACCTGTAGAAAAATATTCTCTACATTTTCCTGTGAAATAATAGCACTTGACCTAGGTTCATCAGAAAATTTTCCCACTGGTTGTAATTTTGGCCACATCTTTTTGCTTAATAGTCTCTGTTGGACAGGAAAAAAGCTTTCTATAGGCATTTTCACTATTTCAGAAAATTCATATTTAGAGATATGTTTAAATTGCAAGTCCACAAATGACTCTAACATGTTTAAAACCCTTTCAGCAATCTCTCGAACAATTCGATGGCTATAGTCCAAAGAATTTCGGTCTTTAGACATGATGTTTTCGATTGATACATTGCCAAGTAGGTGTTTGGTTGGAGAACTGTGCTTTGTCTTAGCACTGATTTGCTCTTTCCCGCTTGCTGGAGTGTCTTTACTCTCTGAAATGGACATCTGGGTCAAGAAGCACATTTGTAATTTTTCAAACAGCATTTCCACAATTTCCCTTGCAAACATCTTAATTTGTGCTCTGAAGTCTGCAGTTCTCTTAGAAGCTTCTTGAGAATTGCCATTGAACCTGCTTTCGCTGGTCTCAAGAGGTGGCAAATTTAAAAGTGAAACAGAATACTCTAATTCTTTTGCTTTTATCGAAATTTCAGTTAAAATGGTCTCAGCTACCATCAATAGCTGAAATGTTTCATTATCGGGGTCGTTTGATTCTATCTGCCATTTATCAAACATTTTTTTAAATATACCTTCTTTCGGGAAAATCTGTTCCAGCTGAGAAGACACGTTCTCTAAGAAGAAGCACGCCTGTGGTTTGCCACGGAAGTCTGCGCCTAAACACGCTCGGGAAAGTTTGAGATCATCCAGATGTGAAGCTTTGATTGGACGAGTCAAGTGCTGGTTCTTTGTGGCACGTAATCCTTGCAAAACCGCACTAACTATTCCACTTGCTGCCATGATTTGGTCCAATGGCAAAGCTTTTGTATTTACTATTGCTTGATCTTGTTTAAACTTTTCAAATTCTTTCACAATTGTTTCTAGAATGCTACATGTTATGTTTTGGGAGTAGCCTTTTAATTCTGAAGTGGGTAATTTAATTTCTAGTATGTTTTTGGCATCTCCACTTGACAGGCTATGCGGCAATCCAATGACAGTTTTGGATCGGCTGCATCTTGGAGTACTGTCTCCAGGAGAGAGCTTTGTCTTATTCTTGACCTTAGCTCCACTAGGTCTTGGGTGTGATTTCATCCTAAATTTAGATAGCGAGGTCATTTTTGATCTTGCTTTTAAATTCGCTTTAAGATCAGGTTTAGGGCCATCTTTAGGACTAACTTTGTAACTGTGTAATCTTTGAGAGTATATGCCATTAGAACAAGCTTCCAGGGACCTGATATCTTCTAGATGCTGGGAAGCAAACGTTTTGATTTTATTGAGAACCATTTGGAATAAATCTTTTCCCACTTGCAGTGGAGGACCTTGCCAAAAAGTATTTTCCAGAAAGGAGACATTTTGACTGCTTTCACGAGGATCCATCTGTGGTATAGCATATCTAGGGAGAGCACTTTCCTGGCCGGCTTGTCTAGTTCTCCCAAAGCATGATGGTTTCAGTGGTAATCCATAACGGTTGTCAGATGGTGCTGCCCATTTAGGACTTTCATGTAAGCATTTCACAACTACCGAGTGTATTCCTTCCAAAACGTCTTCAACTATGTCAGTTGCTACTCTGTTAATACTTGATTGGAAAGAGTTTTTTTGAGTCGTGTCTGATGTTTGAACTTTAGAATTCGATTCAAGGTCCAGGGTTTCTTTGTTTGGAGACAAACGGCCTTTGGCTTTCATGACTCTTTGAGACACCTTCTTTAATACTTCTTCTACGGTACAGATCAATTCCATTTTCTCTTTCTTTCTTGGTTCTTCGTTTCTCATAAATATTTCTTCCAAAATCATTCTCTGGTTTTCTTCTTCCGATGTTATTTGTTGTTTTCCTACTAGGTAAGTTGCAAATAGAGATAATTCAGAATTAGTGTCCTTTTTTTCTCCCGACTGGATTTCATTTGATATAGTTAGTGGTGAAACCAACTTAGTGTTCTTTTTGGGATAAAAACTAATTTCCTTTGCTGATCTTTTGCTATATAAAATCTTTAAGATACTGTTGACAACTTCACTCACAATAATGTTTTCTTGTAATGAAATCCTGTTTGGATATGAACACATCCTTTGGATTTCTAGATCTACATCTATTTTAATAAGCTTCAAAATGACAGAGGCAATGATGTCAGCATATTCCTTAAGGCAAGCTTGTGACAAATGAATTGTGGGCCTAAGGTTTTTTCTGTAACTGGCAAATGTAGAATCTGTGAACTGCTGGCTGAAAATGGTTCCACCTGATTCCACCTGGCTGGACTCACCAAAGACTCTGTCATCTAGTTGACAGTTTTCCAGTTCTGGGCTAACGACCACCTTTTCTTTTGGCTGGAAAGCGAGAATAATTAAAGAGTCTATTCTATCTGTGGCAAAAGATTCCAACATATTGAAAATAGTTTTAGTAATGATGTTAGCGTTTTCTGCACATGGGTCAGGGGCACGTTTCCTGCTGTCTTCTTTCGCAACTACAGTTATCTTCTTATCAGCAGCACACGACGACTTCACATTTCCTGAACATCGAAACTTTTCTGTATTTATTTCCTGGTCAGTGTCTGTAATGACACGTTGTTGACACTCCACATTTGGAGGCATATCGCAAATAGTCAGGGATGATCTTTCAGGAACAGAAGACTCTGTATTTATGCCAAGCATAACAACAGCACTATTGAGATTATTAAGGACAATATCCACAATATCATTTGATATCATAATAACATCTGATTTAGGAACTGAAAGTTTTGGAATAGCTTTACTTGAACTCTCGGTGAGCATTTCAGAATTTGTTTCTGAATATTTACCATCAGTATTACATTTCAAAGTAGCTATGGCAAGGGTGAGATTGTTTTGATCCAGTGTTTTTTCATAAATATCACTTAAGATGTTTTCTATAGTATCCTGCAGTTGGAATTTAAGTATTTTTCGATATTCAGTCTTATTGAACAACTTCTCCATAATACTTTCTTGCTGATCTGAATCAATTTCCTTCTTAGAATGGATTTTCTCATACCTCCCTTTCGAAGATACAATAGCTAACACTGTATTAACAACTTGACTTGCAATACTTTCAGAAACGGTGATCTGATGTGTCGAGACAGGGCTTTCCACTTCTTTATCTAATTCATGTTTGAGTCCTTGTAATATTTTCCGCGCCACTTCTGTTGCATAACTATTTAATTTAGACAAAGGTAGTTGACACACGGTGTGGGTTTTTACTGTCCCAATTTGACCCACCGAGGAAGAGAAAAAGCTCTCATCAGAACAGGGATCCTTGGTTGAAAACACTTGACTGAATGCATCCTTATCTTGCTGCATAGGTAGAATGGTAAAACTAAGTTGGGAACAGAAAAGAGATTTTACTTTGGAAGTAGCAAAAGTTTCTAAATTTGTTAATACTGCCTGTACAATCTCTTCAATCACATTTACTTTGGCATCGCCATCCATGCTGAACCCAGTGCATGGGTGAAGAGCGCATGGATTTCCGTCCAGCATGGGAACGGAAGACTTTCCTCCACTTGTGTGCTCGTGGAAAGAGACGTTTGCTGAAAAGGTGATAGTTCTATAGCTCTTTTCACTTGCATTTCTCTCTGATACAGCAGCTGAATAAAGTTTATGAAACACAGTCCTGATTACGTCATCAGTAACACTGGTTACGTCTGCTTCCGACACCAAAGGATCCATCATCTCATCTCTGGGTTGGCCGGAAGTTTGAGGAACTCTTTCGTCAACATTGTGCAGAATGCTCCTTAAATGAGATTGGGGGAAAGGAAGCATGTATACTTGATTGATGAAAGCATTGTGAAATATTTCATTCAAAATATTTTTTATAATAGGCACAATTGGAGATGTCTGTGGTTCTCTGAGTTCCACTTCTATTTTGTTCAAGGCTTTTTCTAGAGCCCGCTGCGTACGAGAATCGGATTCACTCTCTTGCGCTGGGGGTGGCCTTGCTTCCCGGTCTTCATCCTCCTTACATTCAGCATCCTCTCGAAATGCATCTGATTCAGCTCCTCCAGGGAGATGATTTCCATAGGTTGGCCTGTATCGATAAGTTTCGATTCCTTTCTCTTCTTCAGATCCAATTTCACTTTGAAAAACGTCTGAGGATACTGCGTCTAAAATCAAATCAATGGTTTCTGTTAGCATGTGCTTCTCAGGCGGTGGCCTTTTTACATCTGTCCCCAGATCTAAGGAGCTCTCATTTAATTCTGTTTGAATAGCCGTCAGAAGTGCATTTGATAAGTTCTTTGCGTGTATGTATAAAGCAGACTGCAGTAGCTCTTCATTTATGTCTGTGGAAACACTGGTATCCTCAAAGCCCCAGTCCATCTTACTGGTTTTTTTATTTCCATCATTAGTAGTTCCAAGAGTCTCTAAATTTCCATTGGCAAATCTTTCCAATTTATCAAAGACCATATTGAGAATATCTGAAGCCACAGCTTTCAGGTGTTTTGGATTTTCTTCTACTCTGTGGCCTGCTTTGGAAGCAACAGAATCCGTTTTTGCCCTATTTTTAGGCATCTCTTTGTTACTTTTCTGAAACATATTGGACACAAATTGGGAGATAATGTCAGTGCACTTGGCCATTTCCTCAATAATTGAAGAAAATGAAAGGCTGTCGATATCAAGATACCCTGAGACAGTTTTAAATCCAGAGGTTGCAAAATTGTCTGTGTCAATAGCACATAATTTTGCAATGATAGATTCCAAAATTGTCTTGGAAATCAGCTGAATGTCGGACTGCAACGCGTTGGTTGTTTGCGGAGTCTCGTCCGTCTTCTCTCTGTTTTGCTTATTGCAGGAGAGGTGAGCATGCGCATGGGCTCCGACAAGCTTGCATAGCATTTCATAGAGGGTTTCCCCGATGCGGTCCAACACTTGCAACCTGGCATTTTCTTTGAGGTCATTTTCACTGTGGTGAGTGCATGAAATGCCCAAATATTGGTGAGTCTCGGGGGACATTCCCTCATGCACACCACAAAGGTGCGTGCAAACAGATCGTTTATCCTGCCTACTTGGCAACATATTTTGTTTATCAAAGCAGTGAGGTCTGTATGAAGTAGCAGGTCTTGGCTTCTTATCTGTAGGGAGTAGACTATTACTTTGATCTTCGCTTTGACTTGATAACATATCACAAATGCACGTTAATAAGGGACTTGTCATAATGTCATCACTAAGACTTGTGACAAGAGATTCCGATTTCTTATCACTGCCAGTACACACTCCTTTATCTGTTAGGGATTTGGAAGTGTCTACCTCCCTGGGATTTAGATGTTTCTTACTGAATTCCGGTTCATTTTGTATAGCACGCAAAACAATGTTTACCACTTTAGCTGTGTAATCACTGAGCTGAGATCTCAACGAAGATGGCTTGGTCGGGGAAGATTTGAAGCCCATTTGCAATTTTGGACAGACAAATGACTTCAGTTTCTTCACAACGGTACTGACAATTTTATCGTTAATGCTATCTAGAGATTCAGAATCCCTTTCCCCAGATGCTAACGAGGAAGGCTTTGCATGACGACTTGAAGATAAACATTTCATTTTCTTTTCACTGTCAAACCATATTTGTAATGGCTTTTTAGTCGGTGCATTTGGGGCCGTGTGAGAGGTGTCAGAATTATCTCGAAACGTTTGATGGACTGACGATGAGATGGAATCTTCAATGGTCTTAGTGATGCAGTTCGAAGCCGTATAAAGAATATTTAACACAGCCTCTGTTATTTCTTCAGTCATCGTCCTGATTTCTGACACAGAGAACATCTGGTCCATCCATTCTTGATGTGACACCCCAGGTGGTTTTCTTGTGGCAAAAACTGAAGCTTCTTTGCCTATTTTCCTATCTAACGGGCCAGGAGGAAAAGAAGATATGTCGGTGAGCATTTCTGTTAAAATACTTTTCACAAGTTTTTCACACGTTTTTTGTATTTGATGCGTTTGTTTTGGGCTGAAAACCGAAACGTCTTTATGCAAGTAGGATTTGCCCCATAAATTATCCTCATTCTTAAAAGATGGGGAATCGAGCTTTAAGCCGCAATCACCAAATACATCGTTGCCCTGGGAAGGGGGATTTCTAGGGACTTTAGTTTTTGTTCTGTATTCAAAGCAAGTGTTTCTGTTTTTAAAGGAACGATCAGGAGTCTGTTTTTGTAAGTTTGCTCTTTCATCTTGGAAAGATGACTCAAGGACGTTTTTCACCATTTTGTCTATTTCTTCATTCTCATCTTCAGGGTAAAGAACCATGCCAGGAACATTGATAGGTGAAAATGGCTTTCCAGACCTCTGCCCGCTAGTTGGTCTGGTTCCGAGGAATCTGTACCTTTCATCAGTGTTAGAAGGATGGCGTGTTCTGCGCGGTTTATTCTTTTGAGCCCCTGGCTTGACTGACTGTGGGTGGAGCTCAGCGAAGATATTATCGAGCAGCTGAAGGAGTAGCACTGTTTCTTCAGAGGCAACCAGTCTCTCGTTGTTAAGTTCGTTTTGTACATAACCTAATATAGCACTGACTGCTTCCTCTATATAACCAACCAAAGAGGACTTGGAAAACATCTTTGACACTAAATTTTGTATTTCTTCTTTGACCATTAACTTGGCGGCGTCCGGTTCAGTGTGAGGTTTCTTTTGGTCAACTCTTTGATGGAACATGGCTGGTGAGTCTGTCAGCGGCGGCTGAGGGGACTGCTTACGTTGGTTCTCCAGATGCGGGAGTTCCTTTTGCCTGCACGAGGCCAGGGCCATGAGCTTTTCTACAATAGAATGCACCATCTCCTCGGCAACGTTGCACATGGGCTCCACGGAACGCGGCGGGGGCGCTTCCAGAGGTTTGTCATCCGATGATGTGAACTGTTCTCCCCCGGTTGAGTCCGGGTGAGTATGTACTGACAGGTCTTCTTCGGAAAAGATTTCGCCACATTTTTTCTCGACTGCAGACTGTAGCTTCTCAAGCATGTTGTCCACAATCTCCCCAGCTACAGAGCAGATGTCAACATTGGAGAGCAAGTCTGTATTGCGAGCTTCAGCTCGGTCAACAAAGACTTCAGCAGTCACAGAAGAAAGCGAAGGGATGGCGTGCGTTAAGTCAGCCATGAGTTCCTGCAAGACGCTCTCTAAAATCAATTCCGTTTCTCCTTTTAAATGACATTTAAAATTAACGAAAACATTCTTTAAATTCTTGATCTCGTGTATGGCTTTGGCTCTGTGATCAGAAATGGATGGATTCTCGAAGCTGTCTGTCGCCGTGGTAGCATCCTTAGATATCCTTGTGCTTGTTTCCGACGAGGCCAACAGGTGACTATCAGACTTGCAGCTTCTGAGTCGAGGGTACCCATAGATCATTCTGGAGTTGCTATACTTAAAGTCGGAGGTCCCGGGCTGCCTTTTCCTGTGATAGGTTTTTTCCACAAAGGTGCTTTCCAGGCGAGCAGAAGGCACATCGGGCGGCCTCCCTGACATGTTCGTTGACAATGTGTAGGGTTCCGTCTGGAACGTCTTCGTGGTGGCAGATGTATAGCTTCCATACGTAAAGCCCTCGCTGCAAGTGCTGCAGAAGCTCGAGCTCTCGGAAGAGAGGACCGAGTCCTCAGACACGGGGCACGTGCTTTGGCGCAGCCTCTCTTCGTACTTTGTGATGGCTGGGTACAATATACTTGTCACTGTAGCCACTACCCACGTCATTACGTTCTGAATGATGCTATGCAGTTCTTCACAGGTGACCTGGAAAAGAGAGAGACCAGGCTAAAGAGAAAACCATGTAACATTTTATTCTGAGATATTTGATTGTTTTGTACTCGGTAATACATAGCTTGAATAACATCATGGCTTTGAAATCAGAAGATAGAAATATAGTCTCTTTAATGGTTTAGATAAATTTAGTTGGTTTACTCTGTGCTGTGGCAAAAATACCTTTTTTGGAAAACATATTGTTTTAGTATTTATTGCTGGTGGTAAAAAAATTTGGCGTCAAAAGAAAAATCACATTGCTATGTAAGCATACAGCAAACAAGTACTTTGAATGAAAAAGTGAGGTGTTATGATCCAGTCATTTTTCAAAAGCAGTGCTAAGTTACTTTAATAAACTCTTTATCAAGACGGATGCAGTCGAATAGAAAGTTGCCTTCGGAGGCATTTGTCTAGCTGGACTGCAGAAGGGGAAGTGAACCCTAACTGGTCTCCCCATTGCTGTGGTGGGAGTGAACTTCTGGTCTGTAGACACATTCTTTATTTTTTTGCAGCTTATTGTTAAGCAACAATGAAACTCCTGCTCTAGGAGAATTTAGTAGTTTTTGTAACCAACAGAATGTTATTAGCACAAACTGACGTAGATGGGAAGATTGTAGCAAAGACAGATCATAAATGGGAAGAACAAATTACTTTAGATAGGAAATAAGCCCCACTTTAATCATAGGAGTCAGAGTGCCGAGCAAGGGTGAACAATCAGGAAGCTAGAGGACCAGGTTTCTTCAGTGGTCAGTGGTACTGTCGAAGATGAAAAGACAGACCTGTCCCGTTCTAGACAACTCTAATTCCATTGTGCAAATATAGTTTGGATTTACACACAAAATAACTTGTCTATAATAAAATAGATTATTATCTTTAACACAAATAATTGGCAGCAGAACCAAAAAGGGGGATATAATAAGCACGAGTTGACAACAAGATTCCTGTAATGGAAGTTGTCTTTAAGTTGTTCAGGCCCGAGACCAATCTCGAAGTGAAGATAACACCTTACTCTATATGTGACTCATTTAGGACTATAAAAAGACAAATTGTTTTTGTTTCGTTCTAATTCCAAAGCTTCCTGATAATATGTTCACCTATTGTAGCGATAGTGGTTATTGGTTTGGGAAACATATTTTGGAATGACAGGGCATACATACTTATTTTACATAACCACATCCTACATCAAACTTTTCTAAGAGTAAAATGAACATTAAGAGAGAAAGCAATTATTCCAAACTTACTCCAACATATATAAAGAAATTAATTTAACATATAGCATTTTTCTTCTTACCGGAGATAGTAAGCGACAGACATATGACTCCTAGAATAGGTATGAGTTTCCAACTTTCATATATGAAATAGGGGACGGTCCTATAGTTTTCAATGTGGTGTAATATTTTTTAAAAAAAATCTTATTCTTAAATTGATTTCATTTTAATACTAACTGAAGAATAACCTCTTGAACATGCCTTCAGATTTGCTACATATTCTCTGTAGTCCTCAGTGTGAAAAGCTAAGTAGAATGTCTCCTGCTGCCTTCAGCCCCTTGTGCCAACCTGTCTAGTTCTAGAGTCTAATGCTGAAGTTCCTAAAACACGTCCACTTAGCGTGTCTGCTGTGAGTCTCACCTGGTTGACAGATGCCTTCTTAACTGACCTTCCTATGTGGTCCGGTCCTTTTCACAAAAACATTATCAGCAATATATCCAAGTATCCTGGCTCACCTGTAGCTGAGTTCACCAAGTCTGAAAGGCATGCCCCTTAAATGGCTTCCCATGATCAAATCAACTTTTAGGTTGACAGCTAGGTTCCCTAACAACTCCCCATCCCATTTCTATCTCCATAGACCCCTTGCCTGAGAGCCAAGCTTAAGTTTTTGATAATAGCTTCTGACCTCTGCAATCTCAAGAAAACACGAAAAAGTGAGAGGGGAAATGACTTAATACAAATAAATGATTACTCATGATATGAATCATATTTTTTCTATTATGACATATTAGAAAATTATTATTGATATGTTACTTTATCATTAGGGTGTATGATACATACTTTCCTGGGCAAGCAATCATGGTGGAGGTTCTGTTGCCTGAAAAACCAAGAAAGGTAGAACACTTAGTTATTACTTAAGATCTAGAGTTTTTGTAATGATCTCTAAAAGGGCTAATGACTGAATCAGTTTCTTCTCTCAATATTTAGTAGTCTCCATACATAAACTCAAAATGAATAATAAACTGATTTTTGTCTAACTACCTTATTTCATCTATTTTTGAAATAATGTCCTTATAATAGAAGTTTGTGCTCTACTGCTCAGATAAATAGAATATACCTGTTACACGAAGACTATATGTAGCTGATAGTTCTACATCTAACTTCCCTTACCATGACTGTGGCTTTGTAGTTTACTTGGAAAGACAGGAGGTTGGGTCAGGGGTGTGGCTCCTTCAGTCTGCTAAAGGGCACCCTGGGGTAGCAAGATGTCTGACCCAAATTTTCTGATGGTAGTTTACTAAGCCCTCAAATTTCCTAATAATCCTACCCCAACACCGCCCCACATCCTGCAGTAGGGAGAGAATATGTGGATGATTATCCAATAACTGTGAATGAAAATCATGAATTTCTAGCCATTCAATACTAAAATTTACTACCAATGGGCATCTTTTCCTGTATATGGTAAAATTCTCCTATGTGTTAAAATTGGGGTCATTTTTATTACCTATTAAACAAAAGTTTTAAAATGGCTGGATTATGACACATGAAAGAATAATTCAAACATGATAGTATATATAAAATAGTTAATAAAACAACTAAGATTTTAATTCTAAATTATTTTCACTCACATTTACGAACATGGATACTTTGCTTGCCTTGATCCTACTTTATTATTTTTTAATAGTTTTATTGGCTTTTAACTCACCTATCAAACAATTTAATCACTCAACATATTAAAGAGAGTTGTGCTATCCTCACCCACAATCAATTTCAGGCATTTTCTTCTAATATTTATTCTTTTTAACTTCTCATATCCCCCAATCTCCTTTGCCACACCCTCAGATAGTTACTGATCCAGTTACCGTCTCTATAGCCTTACCTAGTCTGGGTTCCCGATCCAAAAAAATCATACAAAACACAAATAAGGAAACAACCACAAATGCAACAAAACCGAGCATATTGACATTCCATCTTCATTCTCCCTTAGTGTGCAATATACCTTATTCATGTTTACGTCTATCCTCAAAGCAGAACATGTTATTTTGAGAAACAGTTGAACTGAGAATCACATCTTCCTCATGACCAAAAAGAAAACTTCACTGACTTTACCCCAGAAATGAGCTGGGTAACAATAGTCCATACTTGGACTAGTATCTCTTCTTATTTGCAACCTAGACAACGAAACCTAGTATTCATGATAGATTCTTTATACTTCAAATTATTAGTTCATTATTCTGGTTTCATAACTGTCTTCTTCAAGATATTTTGAAATCTAAGCCTACCAATTCATTTTGCTACGCTTTCTTTTCTATTGCATGCCACAGAAATAAAGTGGAACTCAACGATTCATATATTCATTGATGCCTGTTTTCAGCAGGCTTTCTGACCTAAAAGCCTGCACTTAGATAAAAGCAAAAAGCAAAACATAAGACAAAAACTTATTAAATAAAGGAGATATGGATCTTTGTGAAAGACTACAAATCTGATGTGATAATCAGATAAAGAACATCAGTTAAAATGGATAATACAGTAAGGAGATATGAAAATTCACTCCTCTATCAACTGCAGGAAGGAATAAGGAAACTCTTCAAAATAAGTTTTCTCTCAGAACTCTGGAAAATATTGAAGATGTATATCATTTCTGAGTATTTATTTAAGAAAAACAGGGAAATCTTGGGAGGAACCACTCAGTTCCATGGTGTTTAACCGTACCTTGTTGTAATCTCCTCTTCGCAATCACAGTGGAAAAGCTGAATGTCACTGAAAAGGGCAGACCAGTTCTGAAGCATCTTTAAAACCTCATCCCCAGAAGTGTTTTCCCAGATCATTATTTAACTTGTCTGATAACTCCCTGGAAGACTCCAGTTGTAAGACTGCATTCCTGTGACCTGACTCTCAGCTCATCAGTAATGACTTTTCCATGGGGGTATCTGTCAAAAATACTCCAGGGAATTGTATAACTTTATGTCTGCCTTAACCAATAGACGCTAGTTGGAGCAACCAATAGACTAAGCAGAAAGCTGAAAAGGAAATTTTGGGGAAACGAGATGTCCATAGGGGCTTTGGAAGGATCTAGCCTATTTTTAGGAATACTGAAAATAATACCATATATAGGGATGTGTAGGTCCAATGTTGTATTACCCATAATTGGGAAAGATTTGGAAGCAGGAGGATAAGCTAAGGCAGAGTTAATTGTAAACCACCAGGATGAGTGTTTACGGATATCCCTACATACACACAGAGCCCATTAGCAAAGGCTCTTCTTAGATGTTCTCAATTTGGTTCCAATTCATAGCAACCTAGGTACAAAAGAAGGAAACGCTGGCTGGCCCTGCACTCTCCTCACAATTGTCCTTATGTTTGCCCATTGTTGCAGCCACTGTGTCAATCCACCTTGCTGAGAGTCTTTGGTTTTTTCATTGCCTCTCTACTATACCAAGGATAATGTCCTTTTCTTAGGACTGGTGTATCCTGATAACATATCCAAAATACACGAAAGGGGATTTCACCATCCTTGCTTTCAAGGAGCACTAGAACTGTCCTTCCTCCAAGACAGGTTTGTTTGCTCGTTTGACAGTCCATGTGACGTTCATACTCTTTGCCGGAACCATACTTTAAGTGCCTTGGTCCTTCTTTGGTCTTTCTCATTCAATGTCCGTCTTTCACATGCATATTAAATGAGTGAAAATACCATGGCTCAAGTCAGATGCATCTTAGTTCTCAAAGTAACAATCCTTCCTTCAACACTTTAAGGAGATCTTGTGTTGCAGATTTTGCCAATGCAATGCAACATTTGAACAAGGAAAGTTATTAACCAGTTGAGTATACTCCAGCTCACAGTGATTCCACATGTGTCTGAGTAGAACTGCCACATAGAGAATTTTCCATGGATATTGAGTGAAATAGAAACTCAATAGCGAAAAATCAATTAGGCCTAAAGCTACTGTTAAGAAATCAAAATGTTAACAAAATCCCTCATGAACTCTTCCAATAAAAGAGAGAAGTACACTTGGAAACCCATCAACCTATCCTTTAGGTCTAGTATCACGCTAAGTACCATTGAGTCTAGGGTTACCCTACTCACTAAATCTAGGAAAGAAGTTGTTCCAGGATAGACGTACAGCTCAAGATAATGGAATTGAGATGAAAGAAATAAAGCCATTTGATTATTGGTATTCGATTTTTGATGGGTCCCAAGAAAATTCATTTTTTTAACAAATAGTGTCTGGACAAGTGTATATCAACATGCAAAAGAATGAAGTTAGGTCCCTATCTGACAACATATACAAAAATAAATAAATAAAATGGGTCCACTAACTAAATGCAACAGCAAAAGCCTGTAAAACTTATAGAAAAAAGCCCATAAGTGCATATCATTATAACTGAGTTAGGTGATGGCTTCTTAGTCAGTTAGTATGACATATAAAGTACAGGTGACCAAAGGAAAAACATACACTGGACTTTAAAAAAATGTTTTTGCTTCAAAAGATACTAGAAAGAATATGAAGGGAACCCTCAGAGCAAAAGGGGAAACATTCCAATCAAACGAGGGCTTCAAATATTCATGGACATTTTTGATCTACACGAACTTTTGAAGTCTTTTCATGTATCTAAGAATTTAATATCTAAAGTATATAAAGCACTCTCAAAATTCAATAATATAGAAACAAACCAAATAAAATATAGGGAAATATTTAAATATATATAAATCTCTAAAGAACACATGAAGATGACCAGTAAGCACATGCATATATGCTCAATATCATTAGTCCTTGAGGAATTACACATGAAGATTACATTGAGATGCCACCACACAACTACAAGGATGGCTATAATAAAAAGGATCAATAATACAAATGTTGACAAGGACGTGTAGAAATTGGCGCCCACGTGCATTACAAATAGGAATGAGAAATCATGTGCAGAGACTTTGGAAAACTATTTGATGATTCCTCAGAAAGTTAAACATAGAATTACGATCTGAATCACCCACTCCATTCCTAGGTAGATACATTGATACTTATTGGTGACTGGGACGTACAAGTTGGAAAGGAAAGACGGAGGAGTAGCTGGAGAATACAGCTGGGCTCCTGGTGACAGCATTCTCCAAGACTAATGTTTTTGTAAAGATATTTTTAAAACAACACAAGCGGCAACCGTGCACATAGACTTCCCTAAATGGAATACACAAGAATCACATGGACTTTCTCTGCTGATGACATTGAAGCTCAAGGTCAGCCACCAAAATGAGACCAGGGGCTCACTGTGGAATAGACTCTCAATTGTTCATAGGGAAGGTCGGGTTGATGTTTAATAAAATTAAACCAAGTCTATGAGAGCCAGTATATGACCTTGAGTATATCCCACCCAAACTTAGACAACATCTCAAGACTGAATTTGACTTATTGAACACAAATGACAAAACATTGATGAGCTATGGGATAATACCTAGAACTAGAACAGCACTCATGAAGAGAGCATTGCCACGGAAAAGGCAACACAGAAAGAAAAAGGAAAGTGGATGTCAGAAGAGACTGAACCTTGCTCTTGCATGCAGAGTAGCTAAAGTAAATCGAAGCATTGGTGAAGTGAAAGACATCAACAGAAAATGTCAAAGTGTAGCTTGAGAAACAAAGTATTATAAGGACATGTGAAAAGACCTGGAGTTAGAAAACTAAAAAGAACACATTAACAGAAACTGAAATTATAGAAGAAAATATTAAAGCCTCAATTTGCAATAGTACAGGATTTTATGAATAAATCTTTGATGACACAGGAAACGTTCACTGTACCAAAAAAGTACTGGGTCACATTCATCCTTCATCTATGTCAAGAGGTAGCATATGACCGAGAGTTAGGGGTACTGAAGGAAGAATTCTAAACTGTGCTAAAGGCATCTTTATCCACCTGATACTGAATTTCCAGCTCGGGGTTATGTCTGTGCTATATGTGTCTTTTGCATTAGTAGTATAAAAACAGCGAACTCAGTGATGAGCACGAAGGGGGCTGGAGGGTGGAACAGAAGTGATAGTCCCACAGTAGTCTCGTGAGCCATGGAGTAGAATTAGAACAAGACAGATGTAATGTTGATGTGTCAGATTCAGATAAGAAAGTATGACTAGCTCTCTATTTTGTTTGTGCTCTGACTCCATATTAGGTAAAGGGATATTAAAATTATGATATTTTAGGGGAAGGGTGGTAAAGGCCCCTGAACATACAGAGTTAATTAGCAAGGTATTTAATGAAGCAGTATCTAAAACATTTCCTATAAAGTGATTGAAATAACTCTAATTCTGATACAGCGAGATGAAGAAGCAATAATTAACATTTTATGAGCCCTCTCTACTCATTGTTCTAAAGAGGCAAGCAAGTGATATTTTAAATAAATGAACTGTTTATTAGTCATGGTCTGTGCTTTCTTCCATCTCTCCCAATTGATTTTAACTGGATTAGTCATTTTTCTACATTGTGCCATATTATGTATTCTGTGACTCTTCAGGATGTTAGACAAGCTGGCATCATAAAGTCAAGAGTCTTCCTCGGGGAGGCTTGGTCTAAATATATCAATGCTATTTGCACCTACATAATTCAACCACCATCACTGTCTGTCAGTTTGTTTTACTGCGGTGACTTGTGTTGCTGTGAAGCTAGAAGCAATATAACCAGTGTTTCAAATACCAGCAGAGTCATCCAAAGTGAACACATTTCAGCAGCATTTCCAGACTAAGAACAGACTAGGAAAAAGGAATAGGATGCCTACTTCATGGGATTTAGCCATGAAACACTTTATGGACAGAGGTGAAATATTTTCAGATACTGAAAACTTCATGAAACTAAGCAGAGCACTGGCAGCGCTAGAGATGAGCCCGTCAGGTCAGAAGTCACTGAAAATACAACCCAGGAGGGGTGGCCTTCTCAAAGTCGGGTCAAGTGTATTAATGTGATGGAGGGAAGCCTGTGTGGGGAAAGCCCTTGGGAACTTCATTTGCTGATGGGGCATGACTCAAAATGAGAATAAAAAAGCTGCAAATATTAATAATCAGAACTTGGAATGTATAAAGTATAAATCAAGGAAAATTGGAAGTTGTAAAAAAATGAAATGGAACTCATAAAAATCACCCTTCTAGGCATTAATGAATGAGCTGAAATGGACTAGTATTGGCCACCATGAAACAGAAAATCATATGGTTTATGATTCTGAGAATTGCAATCGCCTTCAAAAGGTACATTTCAAGATCCATCTTGAAATACAATGCTGTCTGTGAGAGGATTAAATCTATCCCCATACAAAGAAATCTAATAAATATAACTGTTAATCAAATGTATGTACCAGCCATCAAAGCTGATGATGAAGAAATTGAAAAATTACACCAAATTCTTCAGCCTGAAGCTGATTGAACATGCAATAAAGATGTATTGATAATTTCTGGTATTGGAACGAGAAATTTGGAATCAGAGAGGAAGGAAGAGTAGTTGGAAAGTATGGCTTTGGTGAAAAAGGAAACCTGGGATCACATGATAGAATTTCAAAAAGCCCAGACCTTGAACTATTTACAGGCTTTTCTTTTTGTCGTTGGTTTTTGTTGCGATGGTTTTGTTTTCTTTTGTTTTGTTTTTCTTTGTCTTGTTTTGTGTGCATATTATTATCTCTGCAGGTCTATCTAGACAAGATAGGTGGGATAAACAATTTGGAGGAGAAAAGAACAGGACTGACAGTTCCAGGGGGATATGCAGGAGGGGGAGGCGGAGGAAAGGAAGTCGGTGTTAACAACCCCAGGAACAAGGGAACAACAAGTAATCCAAAATCGATAGCGAGGAGGGTGTTGGAGGTCTGCTAGGGCTTGATCAAGGGTAATGTAACTGATAGGAATTACTGAAACCCAAATGAAGGCTGAACAGGATAGTGGGACAAGAGGAAAGTAAAAGGAAATAAAGGAAAGAGCTAGGAGCCAAAGGACATTTATAGAGGTTTAAATATAGGCGTGTGCATATGTAAATATATATATATGATGGGGAAATAGATCTATGTGCATATATTTATAGGTTGTTTATTAAGGTAGCAAATGGAAAATGAGCCTTGACTCAAGTGTTCCCTCAATGCAAGAACATTTTGTTTTATTAAAGTGGCATTCCATGATGCTCACCTTCCCAACACGATTGCTGAAGACAAAGTGGCCAAGAAAGCTGATGGTGCCCGGCTATCAAAAGATATAGTGTTTGGGGTCTTAAAGGCTTGAAAATAAACAGCCATCTAGCTCAGAAGCAACAAAACCCACATGGAAGAAGCACACCAGCATGTGTGATCGCAAGATGTCGATAGGATCAGGTATCAGGCATCAAAGAACAAAAAATCATATCACTGTGAAGGAGGCTGTAGAACAAGGAACATCATATGCTGATGTCATATGAATCCTGGCTGAAAATTGAGAATACCAGAAAAATGTTTAGTTGTGTTTTATTGGCTATGCTAAGGCATTCGACTGCATGGATCCTAACACACTATGGATAGCCCAGGAAGAACGGACATACACTGTGCTCATGAAAATCCAGCACATGGATCAAGAGGTGATTGTGTAAACAGAATACAGGAATGTCGCATGGTTTAAAACCAGGAAAGGAATGCATCAGGGTAGCATCCTCTTACATGGGCAAATCATCAGAGAAGCTGGATATGATGAGGATATGACATCGGGTTTGGAGGAAGGCTTATTTGCAACCTGCAGTGTGCAGGTGACCCAACGTTGCTTGCTGCAAGTGAGGAGAACCTGAAGCACTTGCTGGTGAAGATCAAGGACTGACACCTTCAATGTGGATTGCAATTTAGAGTACAGAAGATAAAGATCTTCAGTATTGGATCATGGTAAATGGGAAAAGGTGTGACGTTGTAAGGACTTTGCCTTGCCTGGATCCACAATCAGTGCTCATGGAAGCAGCAGTCAAGGCATCAAAGGCCATATTGCACTGAGGAAATCTGCACCACAAGATCTATTTAAAGTGCTGCAAAGCAAGGATGTTACTTCGGGGACTAGGGTGCACCTGACCCATCCATAATATTGCCTATGAAAGAGTTAGAATTGAATAAGGAAGACGAGAAGAATCTAGCTATTTGAATCATGGTGCTAGAGAAAAGTATTAAAAGTACCACGGACAGCCAAAAGACCCAAACAAATCTGTTTTGGAAAAAGAACAGCCAGAATGTTCCTTAGATGCAACAATCACCAGACTTCATCCCTGGTGCTTTGGAGAGGTGTCAGGAGCCGTCCGTCCTGGAGAAGGACACCGTGCTCCCTGGTGCTTTAGAGAGGTGTCAAGAGCCGTCAGTCCTGGAGAAGGACACCATGCTTGATAGAGCAGTGGGCCAGCAAAAAAGAGGGATGCCTTAGACCAGATTAATTGGCACAGGGGCTGCATTAGGACAATTGTGAAGCTGGCATGGGATGTGGTAGTGTTTATTCTATTGTACATAGGGTTCCCACGAGTCCTAATCAATGTGAGGGCACCTGACAGCAACAATTCAGCCAATTTCAGGGCAACTGTGGCTTTATCCTGATGTTTTAAATCCCGTTTTTGATTGTTTGTGTTTTATCTTTTTAAGGTAATGGGTGTTTTTTCCAAACATAATAATTTTCTTCAGGGAGGGGAAAAAATGAGGACCTGATGCCAGGGGCTTAAGTGGAGAGCAGATATTTTGAGAATGATGAGGGCAATGAATGGACAAATGTGCTTTACACAATTGATGTATGTATGGATTGTGATAAGAGTTGTATGAGCCCCTAAAAGAACGATTAAAAATAATAATACTTTTCTTCATCATTTGAAGATCAGCAAAAAGAAATGTATCAACAGCATAGATGCTTGCTAAGACCTGAAGAATGAAAAATCCCCAGGCCTCTCGAATGGCTCTTATACAAAAATCTGGATTTTTCTGTCATTAGAGGTTAAGGATTTGGGTTACACTGCAAATAGCCTTTAGGAAAGAATAACAGATTGCCATTAATATTTCACAGTAAACTACCATATCACCCTTAGGAAAGAGATACATTCAAAAAACCTATTGAATGGCGAATGTTTCAGAGTGGGGGAAAGGCAAAAGAACAGACTTCAGATGCTGAGAAACAACGTGAGGAGGTGATGTCCTGGTGAAGTTATCTTTGTAAGTGGAATGAGGACCAGGACTAAAGGGGTAGCATAGAATCACGTGGGGAAGAGGAAGTGGGAGAACATGAATGATTAACTTGTCTACTTTAGAATACACATTTAGTCCTGAGAATTTAATACTATAGAATTAGAAACATGGAGAACTAGAGCAATGTAAGAAAACTAATTATTGAGACATAATTAATAATTACACATAAATTTCTTATATACTTACGTATATGAGGAGGCCCGAGAGGAGAAAATGCCATTGGATGTAGTGTGAGCCTGAGGTCCTATTTGTCAAAAAAGGAAAATTGTAATTAGTTTGCATCCATCTGTAGTCTTTTATAAAAGGGTAATTAGTTTTCATTAACAAATTTTTATTTCTACTCTCACTGCCTTATTTTTTTAAATGGCAGGAATTCATCCTCATTGCCTCAATAAATTCCAAAATTTTTAGTAAGGTACAGAATATTCCCTAACGTTTGACATTGATGTCTACCTCCAGAGGGCCATCTTTGGCTGAACTTCCGTATGACTGCTGTGAACCAAAGCCACAGAGAAACTCACAGTAATTAAGTAGATTAGAGCTCAAACAGTCTGAGACACTGACGCACACAAAGTTCCCTAGACTTATGATGTGTTCCTTATCTGTAGGACCTGGTTTTAGCTAGTTCCTTGTTTTGAAGCACCCCGCATCATCTTTCTTGCTCATCTTTTAAATCTTATTGAACCTGTCTTAAATCTATTCAAAAAAAATTCCTAGAAACTGTAAACAAATAGCCTTTCCCTGGAAGTGCTCCAAAAGCTTCTGTAAGACTTATGCTGCATTGTGATGATATATATTTCTTCTTTTTCCTTGAATAAGATATACATTCCAACAATATTCTTTGCATGTAGCATATGCTAAGTACTGAATAACATTTATTAATTGAATATATTATTTAATTCATATGTTTATTCAATATTCATTTATTGATCGGCCTAGCATTAATATCTTCCAATTAGAATATTTTATCAAAACTTATTTTGTATGTAATCTAACAAGATTCCACAATTAAACTTTCATAAATTCAGTTAGTGTTTGAAGTTGTAGTAATTGTAGTGAGATAAGATATACAAATGAATGAAAACTTTGGAAATAATAGCCAAAAACTCTTACATACTACTAGTGCATCAAGAAAAATCAAGAGTTATTAGTAAAACTCTAAATCTGATCCAAAATTAAAAACATGACATTATTTATCTAGTATTTAAAACCAATTCATGAATGTGGGAACTATTTTATGTATAATAGAAAAATGTTAATTTTTGGAATAAGTTTATTAAAAGGACAAACATAATCCCATTTATCTACATATGTCAAATATTATGCCATTAAAACATATTTAAGGCAAGTTCAAAAAATAGAAAATCACGCAGTGTTCTGTGGCGGGAATACTCGGTATCACAATGCATCAACTTGTCCTCGTAAATTCTTCCCTGACAACCATGTATAAACCTAGGCACTGTTGTTCCTATCCTTCCTCTTACGGTTACATGTGCACACACATACCTTTTTATATGCTACTCACTGTTACATTCCCAGTGGAACCCTTTACTGTCAAGTCTGTTCTGACTAGTGGTGGCGCCATGTTGCCAGAGTAGTACTGGGCGGCCTAGGGTTTTCCATAATGACCACTTGGGGGAGACCGCCAGGCCTTCCTGCCAATCACTGATGGGCGACTCAAACCACCAACATTTTGGTTGGTAGCCGATTGTGCTAACCATTTGCACCACCCACGATTCCCATCAGATTAGGTTGCAGTTACTGACATAGCTATCGCCCCACTGCAATGTAGATAGATGCCTTGGTCAGAAGCCATGCATTTTCTTTTGTGTGTGTTCAGTATCTAGATTATACCTGGCATGAAGCTGGAACTCCAAAAGAAATGTTTGTGCGAGGAATGAATTAGTAGTTTGTCTGATTTACTCAATAACCATCGCTGATATTTACCTGATTCAGAGAAGCAGCATGATTTCTTGGCTGTCCGTTCAGGCAAATCACCATTTCTTTCTTTCTGTATAATCCACAACAATAAAAAACAGACACATCTCTAAGTATTTTTCTGTAACTTACACATAAGGTGTTATTTTTATATGTAATATGCAAAAACATTTTTTAAAGATTCTAAGAATTTCTTTTAGAGGATAATTAATAAAAATTGACAGTACTTTTGTCTTTGCAGTAGCATGTGTGCAACGTCTCTACCTAAAGCAGTCCATTAGAAATCTCCTACCACTTGGGTTTTAACTGGCGGTTAGTCGTACAGGTGCCCTCTCCCTAGCATGTATCAAAATTTCAGGCTTCCAAAGGGCAAGTTGGTGTTCAGCACAAATTAAAGAACTGACACAGACTGGGCACACTATATCGCTCTTCTCAGGGTTAGTCAGTTCCCCGACACCATGTATAAGAACTTACTTTGAAAGATCTTTCTAAAGAGCAGTTTCAAGCCTGTACATTTTCTCTTATTTTTTTGCCAAAAAAAGTTAATAAGTGACATCCTGAAATTAGCTATCTGTGAAATTCACTATTTATGAGGAAGTTAGTCAACTTAATGGGATGAAAAACGTAAGCATTTTAATAAAGCCAACAACAGGAAAAAGCTTAAAGGGAACTGGAAAACCCAACAGACCTCTGTATATATGGTAGTAGTGCTCTCTGGATTTAGTCAGCAATTTAGCCTAGTCACATTATCGTTAGCTACACCCTAAATAAATAAAGAAAAAATGAACCAAAAAACACTGCCACTGAGTTAATTCTGACTCATAATGACCCAGTAAAAGTGGTTTTTGCAGGGGTAAATCTTTATGGGAGTATGGTACCTCATTTTTCTCTGTGGAGTGGCTGGTGGATTTGAAGCACTGACTTTTTGATTTGCAAGCCAGTACTTAACATGCTATGCCACACGGGTGTCATCAGATTAGTCTAGAGCAGCGGTTCTCAATCTGTGGGTCGCGACCCCTTTGGGGATTGAATGACCCTTTTACAGGGGTCGCCTAAGACCATCGGAAAACACATACTCTATTTCCAATGGTCTTAGGAACCAAGACACCGCCCCTCTATCCATCTCCAGGCGGGTCCACCCACATGCAGATACGCCCACATATGAGTACCTGGCATGAAGACTGTTACCCATGCTATACCATGCTTCAAGACAAAATTTCAGTGATTTGTAATTAGAAATAAATATTTCACAATATAGAATTTCATATTTTCGTGATTAATCAATATGCTTTCATTATGTTCAATTTGTAACAGTGAAAATACATCCTGCATATCAGCTATTTACATTGCGATTCATAACAGTAGCAAAATTACAGGTATGAAGTCGTAATGAAAACAGTTTTATGGTTGGGGGTCACCACAACATGAGGAACTGTATGAAAGTGTCGCAGCATTAGGAGAGTTGAGAACCACTGACACAGAGGGAGTCAAATCCAGTGAGTCATGTCTTTCCCCAGGCTGAATGCAGACTGTCAGAAGTACATTTTTTGACAGTGATGGGTTTTATACATGTTGCAAGAGAGGATATAACATGAATCACAATAAAAATGCTTATGATATTTCTCAAAATAAATTAGATATGTGACAATTGGGTGGCAAAGTTAATAATACACACATTACCTAAATCAAGTTAATATTCAGATTTAGACATTTTTCTTAATTCAGGAGGCTTTAAAAAAAATCATTTTATTAGGGGCTCATGCAACTCTTATCACAATCCATACATA